CTCTGTCTAAAAGAGAGGCCAAAATAAAAATCAGGCCGGATTTTTTGTGTTCGACAAGTTTAGTTTACTAGTAAATCTTGGCGACGAATCTGGTGGCGTGTAAACCAGCCTTTTAAACATACTTTTTCTCATCACGTCTCAGGTAAACAGAACACAGACCTCGGACAGAATTTGTTCTTTTTTGCCCTATTTAAACCTATAATTCTGCAGTTTTTCACGATTTTGCAAGAGAATTTGCACTCATTCAATATCCACGACGATCAAAGCACGCGCTTCCTTTGCACAACAAAATTATAGCATTGAATTATAAAACGTTTTCTGTTAGAAAAATCTGGTCCTATGTGATATGCGGGTAGTAATTATGGGCTTTTAATGAAAACGATAAAAAAGCGAGTGATATTTACGCGCTGCGTTTTGAGTATTCCTACATGCGATGTTTATATTCGACTGGAAACAACCGGTGCAGCGATGAAAATTGCGAGAAGGACTATTAATTCGGTGAAACATGTACAGAGACAATAATTTTCATTCACGAAGAGAAGTATTGAGAGTAAAGTGTCTCAGAAAATCATGAGTCAGGCAGGCATAAGCTTATTTATGTTTTAAGCCGGCTTCCCGGTGTTCGCTCTTTTTCAAGATGAACTCGAGGCAAGAAAATCGCTCAGAGCTTTCTGTTTACGGCCAAAGTCATAACTAAATAATCTTCGGAACCTTTTCTTTGAATTTGCGGGTCAAAAAATGTCTAAAGGCTTTTTAAACCTGATACTATTGTCGGTTAGATCATTGCTCGTGTTTTAACTTAAGCCGCATAAACCATACGCTCGACTTCAGGAAACCGAAAAAAAAAAAACTTCAAAGACAATAATGGCTCAAGCTTACCAGTCGAGATGCTGCTTCCGAAGGTCATCAAGTGTTCCAGAATCGCTTGAGACTTTTTAACCTTCTTACGCCTCAAGCAAGGGCAAGTGAGTAAGCTCATTTTTGAAAACGATGCCATCCGAAATCGGATTTCCAATGACTTTGACAAGCGGTGCATTTGTCAACAAGAAGCGCAATAAACAAACCAGCCACGAATTACAGAACAATCTTGATAGCAGCTGTATTTCATTTTGTACACCAAGTAGAAAAAGACAGTTTAAAACATCACAAGATGACACAAAACTCTCTCAGCTCCAGCTATCAGTAAGCAAGTTTCCAGACGCTGCAAAATTTTTCCGCATAAACTCACCTGTCAAATTTTGACCAATCAGAACATAAAATTGGACGTAGAGCGTGATCAACGCGTGACAGTGAGAAAAGTCACAAGCGATTGCCTTCCCTGCATGTAAATGTAAAGGCCGGTTGAATTTTCTTTCGTGTCCGAGATCAGTTCGAAATCAACATTTTAAAAGAGCGGCTCATGAAGCACGACTTATTTCATATGCATTTTAAAAAAATTGAACTTGAGCCTGCGATCATTTGAAAAGTAGCAACTTGTCAGCGAATACCTTCAAAATATTACTCGAACTCAGAGGGTCGATACCTGAGCCTGCGATACGGTCAGGCGATACTGGTCAGCAGAGACACTGTTTTGACAGCTGTCGATTAATCAAAACATGGATGTACAATATCAGGTTGCAGGCTCCCAATCTAGCTAGAAAGTGTGAGATTAAACATTGGTATGCCTGTGGTGCGGACGGACGAAAGGTCGGGTGGTCGGTGTACGGTCACGTGATTGCCGAATTTTCTAGGATGGATAGATTTTCTATAAAGCTATGGGGCTTCGAACTGAGCCCGTGATCAAAATAAAATATCAGCGTAAAACTTTAAACACTACGTGACCTCAATAGATAGAAAAATGAGCCCGCGATCCACTTAGGTGATGATGTTCAGCGTATACTCTAGTTTGACAGCTGTCAATTAACCTTCATTAGAATGGCGAATATTCGAATTAACAGACTACGAGTGTGAGTAGGACATTTCCGTCCGGCATGTAGTTGAAAATGCTAGATCGTGTACCTGAGCGAACCTGAGCCCTCGTTATTAGTTTTCTGATAGCGGTATGAACATGTCCCATTTTCACAGCTGTCAATTGACCTTAATTTGGCCTGCCAATGTAACTTGAAACGAGGGTCAGCCAACTGACAGCCTTTCCCGGCGTAGTTTCGTTTTTATGTTGAATTGGTAAGTGTGACATATTATATCAGCTTATATATAGGGGCAAAACGACTGGTCTTTTATCTGAGCCCGCGAGACGGTCATGTGATAATTGTCAGCGGATGTCTGATTTTGACAGCTGTCAATCTAATCGTACTCATACGGATGGCTTACATAACTAAGAGCTGAGGCTAGTCAAGTTGTGCAAGATCTATTGTGACATTTGACATCGGCTTACATGAAGTGTGTGTACGGACGGGCGTACGCTACGTCATAACCAAATTTTCTGGGATGGATAGTTTACCAAATTTTCTTACCCATGGTGCTCCGCTGCGCGCGCGCTTCGCGCGCGCGGGAGCTCCGCTATAAAGCCTGAGTGACGAATACATTAAATCCAGCGTTTTGCTTTATTTACCAATCAGCCACTCGGCCGTTATAAAATATATTACCTGTCAATTTTGTTTGAAGCTCTGAGGAGAGAAACAGATGGATGCACTCAATGAGAAAATGTTGTGAATAAACAATGTGATAAACATATCTGTCAGTATATGGTAGATGTAAGTTACAAAAAGCGACAGTACCACTTCTGAGAACAAAACCAGCAGGTGTGGGGAGGGGTAAAATGAGCGCACCGTCGCCATCGGGTACGTTATTTTGAGCTGCATGTATTGACATGAAATAGGGACTATTTACAACTACTTTTTTGACATAATAACTGGTGACACAAGGGATTACATTGTTGACCGGCCACATCAATTAGCGACAGAACCAAATGTTAAATGAGCATAACACTAAAGTATGCTATGTAATCGGAGTCAAACTAACTGAACATTTACAAGAAGTATTGAAGAACTAAACACGGGACATCTGCTCAGAGCAGCACCAGCAAGCAGCCAGAGCAGAAAATTTAAAGTCAGAGTGACCAATACATTAAATCTAGCGTTCCGCTTTTTTTTTCCAATCCGCCACTTCGCCGTTATAAAATATATTACCTTTAAACATTTTTCTTGTCTCTAAAGAAAAAAAAAAAGAAGGACGCACTCAATAAGAAAATGTTGTGAATAAACAATGTGATAAACATATATGTCAGTATATGGGAGATGTAGGTTACAAAAAGCGACAGTACCACTTCCGAGAACAACACAGGAAGGTGTGAGGAGGGGTAAAATGAGCGCACCGTCGCCCTCGCCTATGTTATTTTGAGCTGCATGTATTGACATGAAATAGGGACTATTTACCACTACCTTTTTTGCAATAATAACTGGCGACACAAGGGATCACATTGTTGACCGGCCACATCAATTAGCGACAGAAAAAGATATGCTAAATAAGCATAACAAAAAAGTTCCCTATATCATCGGGGTCAAACAAGCTGAAAATTTACAAGAAGTATTGAAGAACTAAACACGGGACATCTGCTCAGAGCAGCACCAGCAAGCAGAGAGAGCAGAATATTTCAAGCCGGAGTGACCAATACATTAATTCCAGCGTTCGGCTTTATTTACCAATCAGCCACTCGGCCGTTATAAAATATATTACCTTCCAATCCTTTTGGTGGCTCTGAAGAAAGAAACACATGGATGCACTCAATAAGAAAATGTTGTGAATAAACAATGTGATAAATTAAGATATCTGTGAGTATATAGTAGATGTAGCTTACAAACAGCGACAGTAACACTTCTGAGAACAACACCAGCAGGTGTGGGGAGGGATAAAATGAGCGCACCGTCGCTCTCGGATATGTTATTTTGAGCTGCATGTACTGACATAAACAGGGACTATTTACCACTACTTTTTCGGACATAATAACTAGTGACACAAGGGTTCACATTTGTGACCGGCCACATCAATTAGCGACAGAAAAAAATATGTTAAATAAGCATAACATTAAAGTATCCTATATAACCGGAGTCAAACTACCTGAACATTTACAACAAGTATTGAAGAACTAAACACGGGACATCTGCTCAGAGCAGCACCAGCAAGCAGCCAGAGCAGAATATTTAAAGCCAGAGTGATCAATACATTAAATCCAGCGTTCCGCTTTATTTACCAATCAGCCACTCGGCCGTTATAAAATATATTACCTTCCAATTCTTTTGGTGGCTCTGAAGAAAGAAACAGATGGATGCACTCAATGAGAAAATGTTGTGAATAAACAATGTGGTAAACATATCTGTCAGTATATGGTAGATGTAGGTTACAAACAGCGACAGGACCACTTTTGAGAACAACACCAAAGGGTGTGGGGAGGGAAAAAATGAGCGCACCGTCGCCCTCGGGTATGTTATTTTAAGCTGCATGTATTGGCATAAAATAGGGGCTATTTACCCCTACCTTTTTGACATAATAACTAGTGACATAAGGGATCACATTTGTGACCGGGCACATCAATTAGCGACAAAAGCAAGTATGTTAAATAAGCATAACATTAAAGTATCCTATAAGATCGGAGTCAAACTAGCTAAACATTTACAAGAAGTTATTAAGAATTAAACACGGGACATCTGCTCAGAGTAGAACCAGCAAGTGGCCAAAGCATAATATATAAAGCCGGAGTGAGGAATACATTAAATCCAGCGTTTGGCTTTATTTACCAATCAGCCACTCGGCCGTTATAAAATATATCACCTGAAAATTTTGTTAGAAGCTCTGAAGAGAGAAACAGACGGATGCACTCAATGAGAAAATGTTGTGAATAAACAATGTGATAAACATATCTGTCAGTATATGGTAGATGTAAGTTACAAAAAGCGACAGTACCACTTCTGAGAACAACACCAGCAGGTGTGAGGAGGGGTAAAATAAGCGCACCGTCGCCCTCGCCTATGTTATTTTGAGCTGCATGTATTGGCATAAAATAGGGACTATTTACCGCTACCTTTTTTGCAATAATAACTGGCGACACAAGGGATCACATTGTTGACCGGTCACATTAATTAGCGACAGAAGCAAATGTGATAAATAATTAAGCATAACATTTAAGTATCCTATATGATCGGAGTCGAACTAGCTAAACATTTACAAGAAGTATTGAAGAACTAAACACGGGACATCTGCTCAGAGTAGCAGCAAAAGCAAAATATATAAAGCCGGAGTGACCAATACATTAAATTCAGCGTTCCGCGTTATTTACCAGTCAGCCCCTCGGCCGTTATAAAATATATTACCCTGCCATTCTTTTTCTTCCTCTGCAGAAAAAAACAGATGGATGCACTCAATAAGAAAATGTTGTGAATAAACAATGTGATAAACATATGTGTCAGTATATGGTAGAGGTAGGTTAAAGTTAGTATCGGGATCGGTTATGTATATTCTCTTTGCAGGAGTGACATGATAACTATCGACTGAAGTCTTTTAACACATCTTAAAATTGTAACCCACAGACAGCAACAGTAACACTTCTGAGAACAAAACAAGCAAGTCTGAGGAGGGGCAAAAGGAGCGCACCGTCGGTCTCGGGTTTGTTATTTCGAGCTGTATTGACGTAAAATAGGGACAAAATACCTCTCTCTCTTTTGACATAATAACTGGTGACACAAGGGATCACATTGTTGTCCGGACACATCAGTTAGCGAAAGAAGCAAATATGTGAAATAAGCATCACATTAAAGTGTCCTATATGATCGGAGTCAAACTAGCTGAAAATTTACAAGACGTATTGAAGAACTAAACACGGAACATCTGCTCAGAGCAGCACAAGAGAGCAGCCAAAACAGAATATTTAAAGCAGGAATGACCAATACATTAAATTCAGCGTTCCGCTTTATTTACCAGTCAGCCCCTCGGCCGTTATAAAATATATTACCTTGCCATTCTTTTTCTTCCTCTGCAGAAAAAAACAGATGGATGCACTCAATGAGAAAATGTTGTGAATAAACAATGTAATAAACATATCTGTCAGTATATGGTAGATGTAGGTTACAAACAGCGACATTACCACTTCTGAGAACAACACCAACAGGTGTGGGGAGGGGTAAAATGAGCGCACCGTCGCCCTCGGGTATGTTATTTTGAGCTGCATGTATTAAAACAAAAGAGGGACTATTTGCCGCTACCTTTTTTGACATAATAACTAGTGACACAAGGTATCAAATTGTTGACCGGCCACATCAATTAGCGACAGAAGCAAATATCTTAAATAAGCATAACATTTAAGTATCCCATATGATCGTATAGTCAAACTAGCTGAACATTCAGAAGTATGGAAGAGCTTAAAGTAAGACATCCGCTGAGGGAAGCACCGGCAAGCACCCAGAGCAGGATTTAAAGGCGGAGCGAACAATACATGAAATCCAGCGTTTTTTATACAGTCGAATATCTCAGTACGAACACCTCTGTAATACGGACAGTTCACTATTACGGATAGTTTCCAATGTCCAGACAAAATTCTTATATATTTCCTTTGACATGCTATCTATCGAATGAAGTCTTCTTAAACATCTTGAAATTGTAACCCACAAAAAGCGACAGTATTAACACTTCTGACAACAACACAGGAAGGTGTGAGGAGGGATAAAATGAGCGCAGCATCGGCGGCGGGTCTGTTATTTTGAGCTGTATTGACCTAAAATAGGAACCATTTACCTCTCCTTTTTTTTGACATAATAACTGGTGACGCAAGGGATCACATTGTTGACCGGCCACAACAATTAGCGACAGGAGCAAATATGTTAAGTGCGCGTCACATTAAACTATCCTATATGATCGCAGTCAAACTAGCTCAACTTTACCAATCAGCCACTCGGCCGTTATAAAATATATGAGCTTATGAGCTCAAATTTTACCAAAAAATATAATTGATCACAAGCAAGATTGATTGAGAGTAAAAAAAAAAAGAAATTTTTTTTGTAGTGGTAACAACTAGTGACTCGTTTGTTTACATGTAGTGTGGCCAACAAATAGTGACATGAAGCAAATAAGTTAAATAAGTTAACATGACATCAATCTAGCAAGCCTGCGTAAAAGGCGCCGGATAGTTTTTAGAGCGCGCCTCCTTGAAGTTTCACTTTTCGGCTTAGTTTAAAAACTAGCGCCTAGTACGCAGGCTACTAACTCTAGCTAGATGCGGCTATCTACAAGAAGTAGGGAGAAGCTCATATATCACCTTCCAGTCTCCTTCTCATTATCCCTGAATAAAAAAAAATGGATACATGAATTAAAACAGTGCTCTGAACAATGTATGCGCAAAATTCTGTTTTAAAGATAACGTAAAAGTATCAGGAGCAGTTATGTATATTGTATCTGCAGGGGCCACATGATAACTATCGACTGAAGTCTTTTAAGACATCTTAAAATTGTAACCCACAAACAGTAATAGTAACACTTCTGAGAACAACACCAGCAGGTTTGAGGAGGGGCAAAATGAGCGCACCCTCGGCCTCGGGTTTGTTATTTCGAGCTGTATTGACATAAAATAGGGACTAAATACCTCTCCCTGTTTTGACATAATAACTGGTGACACAAGGGATCACATTGTTGACCGGCTACATCAATTAGCGACAGAAGCAAATATGTTAAATAAGCATAATAACATTAAAGTATCCCTTATGATCGTAGTCAAACCAGCTAAACATTCAGAAGTATGGAGGAGCTTAACTCGAGACATCCGCTGCGGGTAGCATTGGGAAGTACCCAGAGCAGGATTTAAAGCCGGAGCGAACGATACATGAAATCCAGCGTTTTTTAGACAGTCGAAACTATCGGTACGGACACATCTCTAATACGGACAGTTCTCTATTCCGGACAATTTCCAATGTCCCGACAAAATTCTCAAATATTTTCTTTCACATGCTAACTATAGACTGAAGTCTTTTAAAACATCTTGAAATTGTAATCCATGCCCCAAACAGTGAGAGTAACACTTCTGAGAACAACACAGGAAGGTGTGAGAAGGGATAAAATGAGCGCACCGTCGATCGCCCTCGGCTATGTTATTTTCAGCTGCATGTATTGACATAAAATAGGGACTATTTACCTCTACCTTTTTGGACATAATAACTGGTGACACAAGGGATCACATTGTTGACCGGCCACATCAATTAGCGACAGAAAAAAATATGTTAAATAAGCATAACAAAAAAGTATCCTATATCATCGGGGTCAAACAAGCTGAAAATTTACAAGAAGTATTGAAGAACTAAACACGGGACATCTGCTCAGAGCAGCACCAGCAAGCAGAAAGAGCAGAATATTTAAAGCCGGAGTGACCAATACATTAAATCCAGCGTTCGGCTTTTACCAATCAACCACTCGGCCGTTATAAAATATATTACCTTCCAATTCTTTTGGTGGCTCTGAAGAAAGAAACAGATGCACTCAATAAGAAAATGTCGTGAATAAACAATGTGATAAACATATCTGTCAGTATATGGTAGATGTAGGTTACAAACAGCGACAGTACCACTTCTGAGAACAACATCAGCAGGTGTGGGGAGGGGGAAAATGAGGGCACCGTCGCCCTAGGGTATGTTTTTTTTAGCTCCATGTATTGAAATGAAACAGGGACTATTTACCTCTACCTTTTTTTACATAATAACTGGTGACACAAGGGATCAAATATTTGAACGGCCACATCAATTAGCGAAAGAAGCAAATATGTTAAATAATTAAACATAACATTAAAGTATCTTAATTATATGATCGGAGACAAACTAGCTGAACATTTACAAGAAGTATTAAAAAACTAAATACGGGAGATCTGCTCAGAGCAGCACCAGGAAGCAGCAAAAGCAGAATATCTAAAGCGGGAGCGACCAATACGTTAAATGCAGCGTTCGGCTTTATTTCCCATTCAGCCACTCGGCCGTTATAAAATATATTACCTTCCAATATATTTGGTTCGTTTGAAGAAAGAAACAGATGGATGCACTCAATAACAAAATGTTGCGAATAAACAATGTGATAAACATATCTGTCAGTATATAGTAGATGTAGGTTACAAACAGCGACAGTACCACTTCTGAGAACAACACTAGCAGGTGTGGGGAGGGGTAAAATCAGCGCACCGTCGCCCTTGGGTATGTTATTTTGAGCTGCATCTATTGGCATGAAATAGGGACTATTTATCTCTACCTTTTTTGACATAATAACTGGTGACACAAGGGACCACATCCTTGACCGGCCAGATTAATTAGCGACAGAAGCAAATAGGTTAAATAAGCACAACATTAAAGTATCCTATATGATCGGAGTCGAACTAGCTGAACATTTACAAGAAGTATTGAAGAACTAAACACGCGGGGACAACTGCTGAGAGCAGCACCAGCAAGCAGCCAGAGCAGAATATTTAACGCTTGAGTGACCAATACATTAAATCCAGGGTTCGGCTTTATTTACCAATCAGTCACTCCGCCGTTATGAAACATATTACCTTCAACTCTTTTTACTGCGTGTGAAAAAAGAAACAGATGGATGTACTCAATAAGAAAATGTTACGAATAAGCAATGTGATAAACCCTTACCAAATCCAACACTGTTTTGAATGTATTTTTAAGCTATTTTTGAAAACTGTTTTTAACCTGTTTTGTGAAATAGGTTTTAAATAGACTTAAAAGTGTATTTTTAATGTATTTCTCGACTGCTTTTAAAGGTGTTTTAACCTGTTTTAAATGCTATTAAAAACAATTTTTAAAGTATTTTAAAATTCGTTTAAAATATAAAAAAAATCCCTAGGCTTTTGAAAGGCTCAAAACAGGTCTAAAACAGTTTTTAAATACCTTATAAATCGGAATAAAAACAGGATAAAAACAGTTTTAAAAACATATTTTAATTTGCTCTACTATTTTAAAACTATTTTTAATGGCAATTTTAAACGTATTTTGACAAAAACAGGTTTAAAATAGGTACAAAAATATATTTTTAATATATTTTTCGACTGATTTTAAAGGTGTTTTAACCTGTTTAAAACGCTATTAAAATGTTATGCTTCAAAATATATTTTAATAGCTGTTTAATCGGTCTAGAAATTTAGTAAAATACTCGTACTTGCAAATACAATAAAGATACTTTGAAAATAGTATTAAAATACCACAGAAAAAGAAAAGCAATAGCACGCATATATTGTGAAAATACATCACAAATAGGATGCAAAAATGCAAAAACAGGATAAAATTGTAAGAAAATAGCCTTAGAGTTGTCTGAAAACAGTACAAAAATCGTATTGAAGAACTAAACACGGGAAATATGCTCAGAGCAGCACCAGCAAGCAGCCAAAGCAGAATATTTAAAGCCGGAGTGACCAATACATTAAATCCAGCGTTTGGCTTTATTTACCAATCAGCCACTCGGCCGTTGTAAGATATATATCCTTATGAGCTCAAATTTTACCTAAAAATATAATTGATCAGAAGCAGGGTTGATTGATTTAAGCCAAAAAAAAAAAAGAAATTCTTTTCGTAGTGGTAACAACTAGTGACTCTTGTTTACAGTGTGGCCAACAAATAGCGACATGAAGCAAATAAGTTAAATATACATAACATGACATCAATCTACCAAGCCTGCGTTAAAGGCGCCGGTTAGTTTTTAGAGCGCGCGTCCGTGAAGTTTCACTTTTCGCCCTAGTTAAAAAAATTCGCGCCTAGTACACAGGCTACTAACTCTAGCTAGATGCAGCGGCTGTCTACAAGAAGTAAGAAGAAGCTCATATATCACCTTCCAGTCTCCTCCTCCTCGTCGTTATCCCTGAATAAAAAAAAAAGGATACATGAATTAAAACAGTGTTCTGAACAATGTATGCGCAAAATTCTGTTTTGAAGATTACTTAAAAGTTAGTATCAGGAGCAGTTATGTATATTCTTTCTGCAGGGGCGACATGATAACTATCGACTAAAGTCTTTTAACACATCTTAAAATTGTAACCCACGCACAGCAACAGTAACACTTCTGAGAACAACACAAGCAAGTCTGAGGAGGGGCAAAAGGAGCGCACCGTCGGCCTCGGGTTTGTTATTTCGAGCTGTATTGACATAAAACAGGGACTATTTACCTCTACCTTTTTAGATATAATAACTGGTGATACAAGGGATCGCATTGTTGACCAGCCTCATCAATTAGCGACAGAACCAAATATCTTAAATAAGCATAACATTTCAGTACCCCATATGATCGTAGTCAAACTAGCTGAACATTCAGAAGTATGGAAGAGCTTAACTCGAGACATCCACTGAGGGTAGATTGGCAAGCACCCATTGGCAAGCAACGCCGGAGCGAACGATACATGAAATCGAGCGTTTTTTATACAGTCGAACATCTCGACTGAAGTCTTCTAAGACATCTTAAAATTGTACAGGGGCACCCAACGACAATTTTCGGAAGAATATCTGTTCGGAAGACGATTTGAGAGATAGAATTTTCGAAACATTTCTTGTAAAATTTCTTGCTTGCCTGCCTCTCCTAGGATTTTCGAACATCTAAAAAATGGTATAATTGCCTATTTTTAAAGGATTTTAACTCTAAAAAGGTCACCTAGAATTTTCGGAAGCCTTTTTCTGGCTGAAATTTTCGAAAAGGTAAGTTTTGATCCCTATAATTTTCGGATCACTAGACTTTCAGCTAGGAAATCCGAACAGATGAAAAATTTTTAGGGGATAAAAATATGCCTATATCTACCGTTTAAATACTAAAATACGTTTAAATATGCTATGTTTAAGTGGTTTTGAACTATATTCTCGTTGGGTGCTCCTGATTGTAACCCACAACCACCGACAGTAACACTTCTGAGAACAACACAGGAAGGTGTGACGAGGGATACAATGAGCGCACCATCGGCCGCGGAATTTTTATTTTGAGCTGTATTGACATAAAATAGGAACCATTTACTTTTATCTTTTTTTAAAATAATAACTGGTGACACAAGGGATCACATTGTTGACAATTCACATAAAATAGGGACTATTTACCTCTACCTTTTTTGACATAATAACTGGTGACACAAGGCATCACATTGACCGGCCACATCAATTAGCGACAGAAGCAAATGTGTTAAATAAGCAAAACGTTAAAGTATCCTATATGATCGGAGTCAAACTAGCTGGACATTTACAATAAGTCAGTGAAGAACTAAACACGGGACATCTTCTCAGAGCAGCACCAGCAAGCAGCCAAACCAGAATATTTAATGCCGGAGTGACCAATACATTAAATCCAGCGTTCGGCTTTATTTACCAATCAACCACCGGCTCGGCCGTCATAAAATATATCACCTTATGAGCTCAAATTTTACCAAAAAATATAATTGATCAGAAGCAAGGTTGATTGAAAGTAAAAAAAAAATACATTTTTGTACTGGTAACAACTAGTGACTCATTTGTTTACAGTGTGGCCAACAAATAGCGACATGAAGCAAATAATTACATGACATGAATCTATCAAGCCTGCGTTAAAGGCGCCGGTTAGTTTTTAGAGCGCGAGTCCTTGAAGTTTCACTTTTCGCCCTAGTTAAAAAACCAGCGCTTAGTACGCAGGCTACTAACTCTAGGTAGATACAGCTATCTACAAGAAGGAGAGCCTCATATATATCACCTTCCCGTCTTCTTCTTGACTCTGAATAAAAAAAAAAGATGAAAACATCAATTAAAACAGTGTTCTAGACAATGTATCCGCAAAATTCTGTTTTAAAGATTACGTAAAAGTTAGTAACAGGAGCGGTTATGTATATTCTTTTTGTAGGGGGGACATGATAACTATCGACTTAAGTCTTTAAAGACATCTTAAAATTGAAACCCACAAACTGCAACAGTAACACTTCTGACAACAACACAAGCAGCTCTGAAGAGGGGCAAAATGAGCGCACCCTCGGCCTCAGGTTTGTTATTTCAAGCTGTATTGACATAAAATAAAGACTTAATATCTCTCCCTGTTTTAACAAAATAACTGGTGACACAAGGGATCACATTGTTGACCGGCCACATAAATTAGCGACAGAAGCAAATATGTTAAATATTAAGCAGAACACTAAAGTATCCTATATGATCGGAGTCAAACTAGCTGAACATTTACAAGAAGTACTGAAGAACTAAACACGGGACAACTGCTGAGAGCAGTACCAGCAAGCAACCAGGGCAGAATATTTAACGCCGGAGTCATCAATACATTAAATCCAGGGTTCGGCTTTATTTACCAATCAGCCAATCGGCCGTTATAAAATATATCACCTTGCAATTCTTTTAGCACCTCTGAAGAAAGAAACAGATGGATGCACTCAATAAGAAAAAGTTGTGAATAAATAATGTGATAAACATATCTGTCAGTATATGGTAGATGTAAGTTACAAACAGCGACAGTACTACTTCTCGGAACAACAACAGCAGGTGTGGGGAGGGGTAAAATGAGCGCACCGTCGACCTCGGGTATGTTATTTTGAGCTGCATGTATTGACATAAAATAGGGACTATTTACCACTAACTTTTTTGACATAATAACTGGTGACACAAGGCATCACATTGACCGGCCACATCAATTAGCGACAGAAGCAAATATGTTAAATAAGCATAACATTAAAGTATCCTATATGATCGGAGTCAAACTAGCTGAACATTTACAATAAGTATTGAAGAACTAAACACGCTACACCTGCTCAGAGCAGCACCAGAAAGCAGCCAAAGCAGAATATTTAAAGCTGGAGTGACCAATACATTAAATCCAGCGTTCGGCTTTATTTATCAATCAGCCACTCGGCCGTTATAAAATACATTACCTTCAACTTCTTTTTCTCGCTCTAAAGAAAGAAACAGATGGATGCAATCAATAAGAAAATGTTGTGAATAAACAAAGTGGTAAACATATCTTTTAGTATATGGTACATGTAGGTTAGTATAAGGAGCGGTTATGTATATTCCTTTAAAGGGGCGACATGATAACTATCGACTGAAGTCTTTAAAGACATCTTAAAATTAAAACCCACAAACAGCAACAGTAATACTTCTGACAACAACAAAAGAGGCTATGAGGAAGGGCAAAATGAGCGCACCCTCTGCCTCAGGTTTGTTATTTCAAGCTGTATTGACATAAAATAAAGACTAAATACCTCTCCCTGTTTTAACAAAAAAACTGGTGACACAAGGGATCACCTTGTTGACCGGCCACTTCAATTAGCGACAGAAGCAAATATCTTAAATAAGAATAACACTAAAGTGCCCTATATGATCGGAGTCAAAGTAGCTGAACATTCAGAAGTATAAAAGAGCTTAACTCGAGACATCCTCTTAGGGCAGCACCGCCAAGCACCTAGAGCAGGATTTAAACCGGAGCGAACGATACATGAGATCCAGCGTTTTTTATCAGTACAGTCGAAAATCTCGGTACCGACACCACTCTAATACGGACAGTTGTTGTCTATTACGGACAGTTTCCAATGTCCCGACAAAATTTTCATATATTTTCTTTGACATGCTAACTATCGACTGAAGTCTTCTAAAGCATCTTAAAATCGTACCCCACAAACAGCGACAGTAACACTTCTGAGAACAACACAGGAAGGTGTGACGAGGGATAAAATTTGCGCACCATTGGCCGCGGAATTTTTATTTTGAGCTGTATTGACATAGGAACCATTTACTTCTACCTCTTTTGACATAATAACTGGTGACACAAGGGATCACATTGTTGACAATAGACATAAAATAGGGAATATTTACCACTACCTTTTTTGACATAATAACTGGTGACACAAGGGATCAAATTGTTGACCGGCCACGTCAATTAGCGACAGAAACAAATATGTTAAATAAGCATAACATTAAAGTATCCTATATGATCGGAGTGAAACTAGCTGAACATTTATAAGAAGTATTGAAGAACTAAACACGGGACATCTTCTAAGAGCAGCACCAGCAAGCAGCCAAACCAGAATATTTAATGCCAGAGTGACCAATACATTAAATCCAACGTTCGGCTTTATTTACCAATCAGCCACCGGCTTGGCCGTCACAAAATATATCACTTATGAGCTCAAATTTTACCAAAAAATATAATTGATCAGAAGCAAGGTTGATTAAAAGCAAAAAAAAAATTCTTTTTGTAGTGGTAACGACTAGTGACTTATCCGTTTACAGTGTGGCCAACAAATAGTGACATGCAAATAATTACATGACATCAATCTATCAAGCCTGCGTCAAAGGCGCCGGTTAGTGTTTAGAGCGCGCGTCCTTGAAGTTTCACTTTTTGCCCTAGTTAAAAAACCAGCACCTGGTATGCAGGCTAGTAACTCTAGGTAGATGCGGCTATCTACAAGAAGGAGACCCTCATATATCACCTTTTTGTCTTCTCCTTGACTCTGAATAAAAAAAAAAGACGAATACATGAATTAAAACAGTGTTCTGGACAATGTATGCACAAAATTCTGTTTTAAAGATTACGTAAAAGTTAGTGTCAGGAGCGGTTATGTATATTCTTTTTGGAGGGGGGACATGATAACTATCGACTTAAGTCTTTAAAGACATCTTAAAATTGAAACCCGCAAACAGCAACAGTAACACTTCTGACAACAACACAAGCAGCTCTGAGGAGGGGCAAAATGAGCGCACCCTCAGCCTGACGTTTGTTATTTCAAGCTGTATTGACATAAAATAAGACTAAATATCTCTCCCTGTTTTAACAAAATAACTGGTGACACAAGGGATCACATTGTTGACCGGCCACATCAATTAGCGACAGAAGCAAATAGGTTAAATAAGCACAACATTAAAGTCTCCTATATGATCGGAGTTAAACTAGCTGAAAATTTAGAAGAAGTATTGAAGAACTAAACACGGGACAACTGCTGCGAGCAACACCAGCAAGCAGCCAAAACAGAATATTTAACGCCGGAGTGACCAATACATTAAATCCAGGGTTCGGCTTTATTTACCAATCAGCCACTCGGCCGATATAAAATATATTACCTTGAATTACTTTTCGTAGCTCTGAAAAAAGAAACAGATGGATGCACTCAATAAGAAAATGTTGTGAATAAACAACGTGACAAAAATATCTCTCAGTATATGGTAGATGTAGGTTACAAACAGCGATAGTACCACTTCTGAGAACAACACCAGCAGGTGTGGGGAGGGGTAAAATCAGCGTACAGTCGCCCCCTGGTTTGTTATTTTGAGATGCATTTATTGGCAAGAAATAGGGAATATTTATCTGTACCTTTTTTGACATAATAACTGGTGGCACAAGGGATCACATTGTTGACCGGCCACATCAATTAGCGACAGAAGCAAATAGGTTAAATAAGCATAACAGTAAAGTATCCTATATGATCGGAGTCAAAGTAGCTGAACATTCAGAAGTATGGAAGAGCTTAACTCGAGACATCCGCTGAGGGCACGCGGGTATGAAAAGTTTCACTTTTCGCCCTAGTTAAAAAACCAGCGCCTAGTACGCAGGCTATTAACTCTAGGTAGATGCAGCTATCTACAAGAAGGAGAGCCTCATATATCACCTTCCCGTCTTCTTCTTGACTCTGAATAAAAAAAAGACAAATACATGAATTAAAACAGTGTTCTGGACAATGTATGCCGAAAATTCTGTTTTAAAGATTACGTAAAAGTAAGTGTCAGGAGCGGTTATGTATATTCCTTTTGGAGGGCCGACATGATAACTATCGACTGAAGTCTTTAGAGACATCTTAAAATTGAAACCCACAAACAGAAAAAGTAACACTTCTGACAACAACACAAGCAGCTCTGAGCAGGGGCAAAATGAGCGCACCCTCGGCCTGAGGTTTGTTATTTTAAGCTGTATTGACATAAAATAAAGACTAAATACCTCTCCCTGTTTTAACAAAATAACTGGTGACACAAGGGATCAAATTGTTGACCGGCCACATCAATTAGTGACATGAAATCCAGCGTTTTTTATACAGTCAAACCTCTCGGTACCGACACACTCTAATAGGGACAGTTCTCTATTACTTACAGTTTCCAATGTCCGGACAAAATTCTCATATATTTTCTTTGACATGCTAAGTATCGACTAAAGTCTTCTAAACCATAATCTTAAAATTGTAACCCACAAACACGAAGGTGTGAGAAGGGATAAAAAGAGCGCACCATAGGCCGCGGGTTTTTTATTTTGAGGTGTATTGACATAAAATAGGCACCATTTACATCTACCTTTTTTGACAAAAAATAACTGGTGACACAAGGGATCACATTGTTGACCGGCCACATCAATTAGCGACAGAAGCAAATATGTTAAATAACCATAACATTAAAGTATCTTCTATGAACGGAGTTAAACTAGCTGAACATTTACACTAGAAGGATTGAAGAACTAAACACGGGACATCTGCTCAGAGCAGCACCAGCAAGAAGCCAGAGCAGGATAGTTAAAGCCGGAGTGACCAATACATTAAATCCAGCCTTCGGCTTTATTTACCAATCAGCCACTCGGCCGTTATAAAATATATTACCTTCCAATTCTTTTTCTTGCTTTAAAGAAAGAAACAGGTGGATACACTCAATAAGAAAATGTTGTGAATACACAGTCATAAACGTAACTCTGTCACTATATGGTAGATCTAGGTTATAACTTTAACTCTTTCAAAATAACCAATGAATACACTACATTTAACATTAACCATATTTCATTTTATATCATCACCCTCGATGCATTTGTCATTACCGCTTTAGCAGTAATGTATGAATGAAGTACGCCTGATAATCTTCTAGTAAATGACTTAACATGAGCCTAAATTTTACCTAATAATAGCAGTATTACACTCCAAATACAAATAAATGTCTCAAATCTCCAGCTGATCAAGGTTTTCGTATGTATCCAGTTTTTACTTAAACAGCAAACAGTTCAACCAATTCAGAGTGATAAAACAGGATCATTTCTTTTTCATTAGTTTAAATATGTGACCAGTCCTTCCAGTTTCAGATTATGAACGATGGACTCATTTTGCACCATAACTTTTTAAGTGACAAAAAACCTCGCAAAAATAATTGGATGTAAAAATTGAATTAAAACAAACACAAACAAACAAGAAATCTTTTCTAGCCTGCGGTCAAACTGGCATTGGAGAGGTTAAATACTAAACCTGTTTAACTAAACTGATTTCCATCTAGGGCGTTAAATATTTTTAGGGGAAAAAAAGAGACGTGTGATTTGCGCCCGGGGCCCCCGAGCTCAAATTCTCCTGAGCCTTAAAAAAATTAACAACGCTGCTTTCATGCTTTCATAAAACAGATATTTTATTTACTTTCACGTCTCTTATTGTCGATGCCTTTCGGGTTGATTTCCACTGTCGCGTAAATTTTCCCGTGCAAAGGCAAGTAAAAATTACGGAGTTACAGTGGATATCCACCTTTAGTGCAACGTCCTCTGGAATTATCGAAAACTACAGAACAATACTTTTTTGCTGACAGGAAAAAAAAGATATTTTTCAGATTCCTGGCTGAAAGTTAAACATAGTTGCGTAAATTAATAAGCTGGAAGGGGGTTAATGGTAAAACCTCTTGATACGAGAAAGTAGCTAAAAGGCTTTGAGCAAAGCCCGCCGAGAGATTGTAGATGGCTTGATCAGAGGGTTGATTGAAACTAAAAAAACCAATAAATTATTTTTTAGTGGTGAGAAGTGACTCAAGTGTTTACATTGTGGCCCATAAGTAGCGAAATGAAACAAATAAGTTAAATAAACATAACATGTAAGAATCCGAATTTATATCATATTATATCAGCTTATATGTAGGGGCAACACGACTAGTTTTTCATCTGAGCTCGCGAGATGGTCATATGACAATTGTCAGCGGATGTCTGATTTTGACAGCTGTCAATTCATCCTCATACGGATGGCTTACATAACTGACAGGCTAGTGTCAATATTTGAGCAAGATCTAATGCGACACTTGACATCGGCTTACATGTAGTGAGTGTACGAACGGTCGGCGTTCGTACGCTACGTCATAACCAAATTGTTTACCAAATTTTTTTACCCATGATGCCCCGCTATGCGCGCTTCGAACGCGGGAGCTCCGCTATTAAAATCTTACCTTCAAATTTCCTTTCGGTCTCTAAAGAAAGTAATAGATGGATGCATTGATTAACAAAGTGATGTAACTAAATAAGGTGATAAACATAATTCTGTCTTTATGGTAGATGTAAGTTATCTAAGACTCTTCCAAAATAACCAAAAAAATACGGTACACATATTTGATTATAATATATGATCAACTTGGAAACATTCGACATAACTGCTTAAAGCAGTACATGGGAAGCTCGGTAAATCTAGTAAATAGCTAAATTAATATGGGCACAGATTTTACGAAAAAAAAGTGCACTATTATTTCCGAACACAAATAAATGCCTGAAACATCCAATTGAACAAGTTTATCGTATCCTGCTTTTTTTATGCGGCAATTGCAAATATGTGGGCTGAGTTCGTTGTAGGTTCTCTCTGAGAGGTTTTCCTGTGGGTACTGCGGCTTTCCCCTCTCCTCAAAAACCAACATATTCAAATTTTCTGTCGAATTCCAATTCGACCAGGAATGGAAAAGCGAAGAACAAATACGTGGATGTGCTATCTTTAAATCATTATTTATTTATTTTTCTTTTTCCCTATAATAAATAGTTTCCAGTGCAAAGTAATAAAAGGTGGTCATTTGTTTTTCATTAGTTTAATTTTGTCATTCATTCTGTTTCCTTTGAGTTCACGGTTTCCAAATAAATCGCTACTGCTAAGATACCTCGTAAAAAGGGGGGTAAAATGAGCGCATTGTCGGCCTCAGGTTACTTAATAGACAGATTAATATTTCGAGCTACCGACGTAGAATGATGGCGGTCATAAGAATCAATACAGCAATCGAGGACACATTACCTTTCATTTTCCTTCTTGGCTCTAAAAAAAGAAAAAGGTGGATGCATCAATTAAAGCAGTCCTTGACGTTTACCTTAAAATCTTACATATTATGAACACATAAAACCCAAGAAGTGTGTTTTCTTTCGGAGTTTGATCGTCTACATCTACATTTATTAATTGACAACGCTTTCGCATCAAGTGAAAAGGCTACTATTTATTAAACAAACCATTCCCGTACATCCTCTTCCACCTCCTACCACATAAGGAAAGAGTCTAACACTCGGAACATTTGTCAGATACATTATTAACTTCAAACCTGTCGTAAACCCGGATCAAAGTAGAATGAAACACTCGAATAACGTGAACTCAAACAACTCCGAGTAAACGCCACTTGAAAGAACTGAGCGAAGTGCGGTGGCAACGACCCCATTTTCTAAATTTCTGACTTGCACTGAGAACTCCCTATATTCTGCCTCGTCATCGTGCGCACTACGAAAACACGAGGGAAAGCACTAGCCACCCGTGTGGACAGCGTATTCGCCGCCTTCGCTCGAGTCGGTCCAAGTGAATTCATGGTGTTAAAACCAGTTCTCAAATCGCATTTTCCAGATATGAGTCAACTGAAAATCGTCGCTGATGCAATTATGTCTAAATTTCAACAAACTTCTAATCAGGTTTCCAACTCTCTTCCCTCTCAGTTATGAACGAAACAAGCGACACCCGTGGAGGCTAGCGATCTGGTCTCTGTAACGAAGAGACCAGAAGCAGTAGCCTGCGACCCGCCGCTACTGAGAAGAGAGTTAATGATCTGCTAAAGAAGAACTCTGCTAATATAATTTCACACAGCGCTTAAGATGAAATTGATGTACTGCCAGGAATCGCCGACACTTTCACGCTCGATTAGAAGGAAGCGCCCGCTGTCAACAGATATAAACATGGCGCTTGTGTGCGTTAGTGGCTAAACAGTATAAGGCATCTATAATAAGATAGATAAGGAGGGAAGTGAAGAAAGAAGAAATCAAGTGTGTTTGATTTAAGTCCGTTTATTACTTGCAGTTTTTTCAAGACGTCGCATGTATTTGGTCAAACCACATTAACATTTCAGATATATTTTCGGAGTTCACGGCTTTGCCAATTTGCCAATAATTTTTATTTCTTGGAATAATTTCCAGGACTCCTTTACAAATCATTCCTTTACGAGAGTGTCTTGGTTTAAAACAGTAGGTTATTATTCGCAATAATGACCTCCTGTTCCGCCTCAGTGACCTGCTCTTCCATTAACTGAAAAAGACAACGTGTAAGGTGTACTAAAAGAAAAATGATGATTATGATCATCACGATGATGATAACAAGAAAAGCGAAAAGGCCATTTTTGGTATCACAATAACGCCATTGTCAATATTAAAAAAAGAGAAAGGTATTTTGCGCGGCTAGTATGGTTCACTAAATAAACAGAAAAAAAGGCCCTCACGGTTTTAAAATTAAGCATTTTTGCCCTTATTGAGTTAGACTACAATTTGAGTTTAATTTCTACGGTTCCTTTAAAAATTGTTTCGTATTGGAATGTCCAACTATTAAGGGATCGCAAACTCCCCCCTCTACAACTGAGCTGGAACAAATACACCTATTTCTCAGTTAGAAGTTTTTTAAAAGGCTTCACTGAAATTGCTCAACTTACCTGAAAGAGCCTTCTTAAAAGCCAAGTAGTTTTCTTCTTCCATAGTTATCTTGAACCTGACAATATCCAGGTCAAGTTTACTCTTTATGTCAGTAGTCAACAGGAACATCTCAGCGATGTCATCAAGGCAACCGGATTGACAGTCACTCCACAGCCTCTCAAGACTCTCTAAGGTGGGGCACTTCACTGTTATAATCAAAGACCCCATTTCCACAGACTTTACGGCCAGGTTGTAAGCCTGCGTTATGTGCTGAAGAAAGGCACGGACGCCATTAGGTGAGGAGAGTTTATGATTTTCTGTGTACAATTGTACGTGAAGTTGCAGAATTTCATCGATTTTTTCTTGCTGCTCCCTACTAAGATCTCTGGCTGAGACAGTCAGCTTCACAAGGATATCGTTAGAAGCTGAAATTAAGAAAAAGTAGACACAATTAACAAGAACATAGTTGTAACAACAAGAGACAAGAGAAGAGAGCACTTCAAGATGGCGGTTCAAAAACAACTCTGTAATTCATGAAAACGAGGCCAACACTTGACCGATTACAATATATCAATACTGGCCAATATTGTCACATCCTCCCCTTTTTGTCAAGCTAGATTCTGAGAAAAAGATAGCCAAAATGACAACGGTAAACGGACTAACAAATAACAATGACACTGCGAAACTAAGCTTATTTGAGACTAAAAAAAAAAACTGAACGAGCAGTGCGCTCAAGTCTAAGTTCCTGGTAATAAATAAAATAACGATTCTTAGTCTTAACGTAGTCTTGGAATCTAACTGGCTCTTTGATGACACGTCCCGGGCGAGTACGGACAGGTGATGATTGCTTTGCTTCCAGACGGCCTGTATCGCTGTTCATAGCCTTTGCGGCTGGCAATCTGGCGTCTTTGACTCTGTTGGGCCTGAGGTGGTGGGTCGGGTACTGTTTGTTTAGCTTGAGGTAGTGGTTCTGGTACTGTTTGTTTGGCCGCCTAATGCTGTGTTTGTGCAGGAGGGCTCTTGACCAGGTGCTGTCCATTGCGACTACAGGTGGTCCCGTGGGACTGGAATTCATAGGACCTCTGATCTAACCGCCTTGTCACTTTTCCCTTGTCCCAATCATGTTTGCCGAGGACAAATGGCTTCATTCTGACAGTGTCACCAATGCTCAGGCCTGGAAGATAATGAGCTGTCCGATTCTAATACCTTTACTGCCTCTTTTGGTTTAACTGGAGTTGTTCCATCTCATGAAGGTTTGGGAGGTTTCTGTGTTCTAGGAGTGATCTTGGGGACGGTAGCAGGCTTCTTGTCCTTCTTCCTAGGAGACGCTGTGCTGGGCTACTGGAAACACCTTGAGTTGGCGTGTTTTGGATGTTGAGCAGAGCCGGGTACAGGATCTTCTCCTGACTGACGTCTTGCGCAACATTTTCTTGGCAGTTTTCACAGCTGATTCAACCTTGCCATTTGCCTTGCTGTGGTGCGGTGATGTTGTGGTGTGTTCAATGGCCCATTTCTTTGTAAAAGACTTGAATTCACTGGATGTAAACTGGGGGCCATTATCGGTTACTGATTGCTTGGGGATACTATAACGCGCCAGGTGAGACTTCAACTTTTGGCTCATAGCTGATGATTTGGTGTCGATGAGTTGATACAATTCCCAGAAGTTTGATTTGTAGCAGACGGTAACAAGATATTGTTTGTCATCATGGGTGAAGAGGTCTGCTCCGATTTTCTACCATGCTCCTTCAGGGATTTCATGCGGCATAAGTGTCTCTTTACAGGGTGTTTGTTCATTCTCTCTGAACGTCTCACAGGTGCGAATCCATGCTTTTTATTCCTTATTCGTGCCTGGCTAAAAGACATGCTCCCTCGCGTGGCGCAGGCAGGCTTCACTTCCTTGATGTCTGCTATGGATATCTTTTTTGGCTACTGCTCGCATTCCTTTAGGGACAAGTCCCTCTCCACGGAACATCAAACCATCAGTAACTGCAAGTTCGTCCCTGACGCTGAAGTAAGTAGTGACGAGGGGTGGTAGAGATGACTGGTCTGCTGGCCAACCCTCTTGTATTGTGCGTTTTAGCTGTTGTAAGGAGGTATCTTCACTGGTGTATCGGCGGATCTCATAAATCTTCTCTTCTGGCATGACCAGGAAGGAAAGGGCTTTTATGGTTTCCAACTCTTCTCGTCCGCAATCAGAGGGTCTTGGCAGGTGAGCACTGCTAAGGGTGTCGGCTAGATACATCTCTTTGCCATTTAGGTATCTCACTTCGATGTCATAGGCCAGGGCGCGCATAACTATATTGGTCTTACTTCTCGAGGGCGAATACAATGGCAAGCATTTCCTTCTCAGTCCGTGTCCACTAGCATCACACTGGATGGTTACGCCTTTACATGGATCAAAGTAGGTTAGTACAGGTGCCTGTGTCAGCAAGCGTTTCATCTCTGCAAAAGCTTTCTCGTGTACAGCATCCCACGTCCACTCAGAGGCAGGGTGAGCTAGGTTATAGATTGGATGTATCAAATCAGACAGGTAATTCACAGTTCCTCTAAGTCTTTCCACCACTGCTGCTTTGTCTTGTGGGGGAGCCATCTTTTGGACTGCTTCAACTTTAGAGGGGTCTGGCTTGAGGCCGTCACTGGTTAGCACATGGCCCATAAACGGAATTTCGTTGAGGCCAAATCGACACTTTTCTTTGCTCAAGGTAATACCCTTATCGACACAGCACTTGAGAAAGGTACGGACTCGTACATCATGTTCTCCATCTGTTCGACCCCAAATGATCACATCATCACGGATGCAGCAGACTCCCTCAAGACCTTCAAGAGCCTAATGTAGCGTTTTTGGAAGATCTCACTGCTGACTTTCAAAACAAACGGAAGACGAAGTCATCGATAGCGGCCGAAAGGGGTAGCAAACGTTGCTAACAAACTTGATGAATGATCGAGCTCACAGTGAAGGTAGCCAGATTTGAGGTCACAAACGGAGAATACTTTCGCCCTGCTAAGTTCTGGAGGGACATCCTTAAAAGTGGGGAGCTTGTAGTGTTTTCGCTTAAGTGCTTCATTTAGAGGTCTTGAGTCAATACAGATACAAATTCCAGATTTCTTTTCAGCGACAGACATTTGACTGACCCAGTCAGTAAGTTCATCGACCGGTACAATGACGCCTGCATCCACTAGACGGTGAAGTTCATCACTAACAGCTTATTTTCTACACTCAGGCAGGGTGCAGGCACAACGGATTACAGGAGTGGAGAGACACTTCTTTAAAGCTTTTTGATCAACACTTTGGAGAGGTTTCTTGATTCTACACCAGTGTTTATGTTGTCCTGATTTCTTCTTCGATATGTCCTTGATCTTATTAACTTCCTCACTTTTCAGTGCCTTCATGTGATGAGAAGCAGCTTCTATTCCTCGACAGATTTCAATAGCCTTGTTCAGAGTTGTCATGTGTGGAGAGTAGTTCTTCGCGCGTTTTGTCACCTGTGATGCCCAGGAGCAGGCGGTCCATGACCAAAAAATTTCGCATGCAGTCACAGAAACCACAAGTTTTAGACATGTTTCGCAGAACTGAGAGGTGCTCATCGATTGACGGACCAGAAGCTTGATCTCTACGATTGAACTGAAAACGCTCAAAGAATTCCTGTGCTTGACCAAGAAAGTGCTGGTCGTACTTGGCTATAATATCTGCCATCTTGTTGCGGTCCTTGCCTGCAGAGAATTTCATACCGTTGTAGATTCGCATGGCGTCTATTCCAATGCTGTGCAGACGAATGGCGCATTTGTAGTCTTCAGGTTGGCTGTGTAAGCCCGTGATAATACCGTGTAATTTTGCCAACTTTGTTTCCAGATTTTCCAATTGTCGGCCCGATCGCCTTCGATCTCTAGAGGTTGCGGAGGAGAGACTTGTGGCCGTCGAAAAGCAGGAGCTAAAGCTTGCGGTCCTGAAGATTGACTTTCAGAATCAGTAGGCACGGTTAACAGCCACAGCTGCTACCATGTAACAACAAGAGACAAGAGAAGAGAGCACTTCAAGATGCCGGTTCAACAACAACTCTGTAATTCATGAAAACGAGGCCAACACGTGCCCGGTTTCAATATACCATCATGGCCAATATTGTCACAATAGTAGTACTGAATTTATTATTATATGGCAAGCTAGTCTCAAGGCGGAATGGCGCACTTTGATTGGCCGTTTTAAGCTTAGGATTTCACAGGCTGTGACCACACTTTCTTTCATTTTTTCTTCACCTCCACGAAAATTTAAGCCCAGAAACACAAGCTATATATTAATTTGTTTGAGATAGTAAGGTCAATCTGAAACGAACTAGCAGGCTTTTTTTTTTTGAAAACCGAGGTCAAATTAGAGCTGGAGACAACGAAATCTAAGTGAATTCTTTGTGCAACCTTAATAGAATTCTCATTGTTTAGCAGCTATTATGTACACGTGTAGCCTGGCACAATCAGTAATTTTTATGTGAATGTCCGCGTAATGAAGATAGAAATTTGCTAATCGGCACACGAGTCAAATAACTCAGTTATTTTTAACGATTCTTTCGTATTATGCATCAGTCAATTCCAGCTGCGCCCAGACCCACCCCCCCCCCCCCGGGCATAAGAACTTTTTTTTTTGCCTTGGATGGTAAATTCCCTGGTGTGGGGACTCTTGAGCTGTCAAATCCCCCGGGGTGGGGAAGAAAAACGAGGGCAAATTCCCCGTCCTCCGTCAACACTGCAACATTTTTCATTGATCGCACAGTGCGATTTTTTGTTTCAGTTAACGTCTTCCTTTGTGATAGCACTAGGATTCTAATTAAGACTTCACGCCGCAACGACATGCACCAGTTTATGGTTTAGTATTGATATAAAATTATTGACATTAAAATTAATAGAGCGCTGTAAAGTTATATGAAATGAATTGTTTTATAAATAAGAAGGGATGTTCTTCAGATAATATCAACAGCCAAAAAACGTCGATTCACATCCATAGCTCCAATTTCGCTATGATAAGCAATGAAGAAATGCATGCATAAAATCGAGAACATGACTTTACAACCCTTGTCCTTGACAGATGAGCCAATCTGCTTTTTTTCCAGTAAAACCTTTTGTGTAGTTGTATTCTGATAGGAGACCGCGTGCGTATGAAAAGCTAGGGAATGCCCCCGGGGTTGGCAAATGCCCGGCCCCCGGGCAGTGCAAAATTTGCAAATGCCCCACCCCCGGGACTGACAAGGAGGGCAAATGCTCCGCAGTAGCCCGGGGGAGTTTGGCGCAGGTGGAATTGACTGATGCATTACTGTCAAATACTACTGTAACTTAGTTTGGGGATCTACCAACAAAATTGGTCAATAGAACAGCTGCGATGCTCAAACAGATTTCATCAGATTTTTAGGTAACTCAAGTTACAGCTGTACCTATAATAAATTTGAAAACATTCACTTGTTGCAGTAAATTCAATTTATGTATTCTTTTAGAACTGTAATCTTCGCATATCATGTATTTCTCTGTGTTCCTTGAGAAATAGTACTCATAGCTATATGATCCGTCACGCACTTTATTTCCGCTTATCACACTGAAGAAATATAAGACATTTTTCGGTCGCTTTCCAAGGCCTAAAGTTTTTAATCCCAAATTCCGGCCGGGGAGGGGGCTCTTGAGGCCTTCTTTAACTTTATAGTTGAACAGCTTCTAAACCGTTTAAGCTATGACCACCAGACTTAGGACGACTTATCCTAAACTTTATCCGGGGACATTTTAAGGCCTTTGTGATGTGTACGTCAACATTGACGTTACCATGCCAATTGGGTTTTGACAGCCATATTTTCGAAATTTACGTATTTTTTAAAATTTGTACTTAATCTAGTACAACAACAAGACTTAGGGAGGTGGAGAGGCCCCTGCAGGTGAGGTAACTCGCCTACGTGGGTTAACCCGCCTGTCCATATATATCTCTCATTATAATTTGATCACGTTTACATGATAGGTTAGGTGACCCGCCACATGTTAACTCACCTATCTGGGGCCCACAACTCCATGTAAACAGGCCCTTAATCCTCCGCTAGTTTAATGCAGCACTATGTAACTCTGTACCTGGACTGGCGACGGATCCTGAAGTGTACGTTTGAGAGTCTTCCTTGTTTAAGAATGATCCTTCTTCCGTTTTAGTTGCTTCTCTACACGTGTCAACAGGCGAGTCAATTTTTGACATGCGCTTACTTTCATCTAAAAGCCCTGTATTAAATAATAAATAACAGGCCCTCACTAAGACAGTCTTCAGAATACAAGATCAAATGTTGGCTCAGGCAATTCATGACATGGTCAGAACCTTTACCGTCAAACACTAAACTATTTAAGAATTCTTGATTCTTCAGTGACTAACAGTAACAAACAATTCCCTGTTGCCCTAGTCTAGACTAAAATCTTCAACCAAATGATCAGTTTTCTGGATCCCAGGCTGAAAGACTTGAAAACCATAACATATATAGGTATGTCGCACTGTGAAGGGTACCCATATTCATGACATTACTCTCCCCCTGGACTTCATCCTTCTTAGGATTTTACAGGATGCACTCCAGGAAACGTTGCTCGAGGTGGCAAAAAGAAACTCTAAGATAACTCTATACGAAAGCCAACTTCAGTCTAGCGCGCGCTGGGGATAAGCCAGTTAATAAACTGTAGACATTCCGTTTTCTGTAGCGTTACAGAGAATATTAAGTACACCAAAACAAAAATAACAACAAGAAAACAACATGGTAAACAAAACTCGGTAAAGGAATGTGAGAGCACTTTCTTTCTAGAGGCAAGTTTTAGTAAAACTAGATTCGTTGAAAAGCAACTCTAACTGGGCTGCTATAAAACGGCATAGCCACCCCGTCCCCTCAAATAAAATCGCCCCTTCTCCGATTTTTTCTGAGGGTAGGGGGCGGCTGTACACAGGCTACCGCCGACAACTGAGTGACATAGAATCTCCTGTGAGAGTGAAACATGGTCAACTAATTTGAACATTGCACCCTTTCGGAAGACTTTCGTAACAATGTAATATTAACGCTTAGGTTGAGTGAGAGATCGAAACGCGAGAGAACCTGGCAAATCTGTGATCGTAAATATATTAATGTAGACAACCATATCGAGGGTGATTATTTGTCGGAATCCTGTTCACAACAACCTATACTGTACAGAATTACAGACAGCAAACAGATTTTAAGAGAAAACAACCGCTATAACACCCATCAAAGATACACCGGCCTTATTCAACCGAGAGTGATAGAGATGATCAATAGACGTTATAACATAGCTAGAATTTTCGCCTATTCAAATTCAATTGCGCGAGCGTGCTTCATACTCCCATTGAGCTCTCTAATGACGTCAAGAAACTGTACCTCGAGTTCTTGTAAGCTTAGCAATCCTCCCAAGACGTCTCCCAAGTGCATCAATAACTCAACAGTACACGATGAAGCGTTAACCATGTGTTGTATAACGTAAAAAGCGTAAATTTAAGAGAAAACTTTCCAATTTGCTAACCGATAGTAGAGAAAAGAGGTGAGTGTTGTTGCTGTGTGTCATCCTCGCGAGCTGTGCGGGCTATTGCGTGTGCAAATCATTCTTTGCAAAGTTATTTTTTTCAAAAAGAACTTTTTGGTAATTTAATAGTTTTCCGACACCTCAATATCGATTTTACACTCTTTTTGACTGTTATCTTAAGCGACTTGATTATACTTTCTCTCAGTTTCAAGACAAAAACATAACTGTGGGGTGAAAAAATGTAGTCACGTAGGCATTGACGCGTACTGCTTTGAGCGCACGCTATAATAATAAAAATTTAAGGTAACTACTGCTTTGATAGCTTTGATAATGTTATAAAACAATTGGTTCATGCTTCAGCTGTGCGCATGTCGAGATATTGAGCACTTGGGAAGTTTGGAGAGCACTCAACAGGCTTCTCCATTTTCAACGACTTCTGGGTTATTGGGTTAATCATTGATAGTTTTCATTTTCTGATGGAGAAATCTATCCATTTTATAAACTGGGCCCGCCTTGAGGCAGCCCAGTTAATTAATCAAATCACAGTTTTTCCAAAGAATAAGGCGTCATATAGACTCTCTTCTTCCTACAATGTAAAAGGTGTAAACAGATAAATAGAAACATCAGGTGAATTCAGCGCCCTTTTCTCTGTGCCCCGACGATCATACGAGCGTATTGAAGGTGTTTCGATCAGTTTTAGTTTTTCGGAGACCATACGGCCTATATTTTTTAAAAAGTGTTTTTATTCTTGTCCGATCGCAATGAAATTTTTACCACTGATTGAATTTGGTTTGAAGTTTAATAAAAGGTAATTTTGACAACGATAAACAAAAAAAATTGAAATCGATAGAAGCCGAATTTTGAGCAATCTAGACCAGCTACTACATGTAACACATTTCAGTGACATGGCATCTTTGAATGTAAAACATTTGACAATATTCACGCTGAATACTAATCATGGAGTTATATATGGCGCGTATTAATTTGGAAATATTAGCATAACGTCAAAACAGAGAATGTTGTAACGCAGATTTTCAGTGGTCGATTCGTAGGCTAGGTTCGTCTTAAAATTTCAAGGTGTTGCGGTGGATCAATCTCAAAGAAAGTTTCAGATATTATTATATACATTGTGACGATTATGTGATGATGTTTGAAAAGAATTCCATCGAGCCGTTCTAGAGATATAAAGTTTCACTTAGACAGGTGGTGAGAACACATGTTAGTTTTCAGGATTGCAAGAAAGAAAATACACCAAAATTTCCAAATCATGAAATATGATATTAAGCACTATTCTGACGCTGCTTTTAAGCAGCGTCACATTAATTTGAGTTATTCAGAATTTTTTATCAAACAATTTATCACGGCTATTGAAAATATAAGGCTTGAAATATGTCTAATTACATTGTATTTGAATTCAAATATTCCAAATTTGTTACTTGTCTCAAGGGTCTTTTTCTAAACACCACATTTTAATTAAGTTCTTGATGTCAGCTTTTTGGTATCTGGTCTAGATCGCGCAAAATTCGGCATTTATTAATTTCAAAGTGTTTGTTGTTGTCATAGTGATATCGATTTTACTTAAAACTCCTTTATGTTGACAAACTTTCAATTTACAGTTAATCAGTGGTGAAAATTTCAGGGCGATCGGAAAAGGATAAAATCACTTTTAAGTCGATTGAAAGATATCATTATGGCCTCGAAAAACCTATATCGAGAAAACCTTAATTTAATAGCGGAGTTCCCGCGCCAAGCGCGCGTAGCGGAGCACCATGGGTAACAAAATTTGGTAAACTATCCATCCGAGAACATTTGGTTATGACGTAGCGTACGCCCACCCGTACACACGCTTCATGTAAGCCGATGTCAAATGTCACAATAGCTCTTGCACAACTTGACTAGCCTTTCAGTTTTTTAAGCCATCCGTATGAGTACGATTAGATTGACAGCTGTCAAAATCAGACATCCGCTGACAATTATCACGTAACCACCTCGCGGGCTCAGATGAAAGACCAGTCCTTTTGCCCCTACATATAAGCTGATATAATATGTTAAATTTCACAATTCAACATAAAAACGAAACTACCCCGGGCAGGGCTGTCAGTAGGCTGACAGTCGTTTAAAGTTATATTGCCAAGCCAAATTAAGGTCAACTAACAGCTGTCAAAATGGGATATGTGCAGACCACTATCAGAAAACCAATAACGTGGGCTCAGGTTCGCTCAGGTACACGATCTGGCATTTTCCACTACAAGCCGGAGGATATGTCTTTCTCACACTCGTAGTCTGTTAATTCGAATGTTCACCGTTCTAATGAAGGTTAATTGACAGCTGCCAAACTAGAGTATACGCTGACCATCATCACCTGACTGTATCGCAGGGTCGTTTTTCTATCAATTGAGGTCACGTAGTTTTTAAAGTTTTCCGCTTATATTTTATTTGATCACGGGCTCAATTCGAAGCACCATAGCTTAGAAAATCTATCCATCCTAGAAAATTCGGTAATCACGTGATCGTACACCGACCACCCGACCTTCCGTCCTTCCGCACCACAGGCATACCAATGTTTAATCTCACATTTTCTAGCTAGTTTGGGGGCCTGCAACCTGATATTGTACATACATGTTTTGATTAATTGACAGCTGTCAAAATGATGTTTCTGCTGACCAGTATCGCGGGCTCAGATATCGACCCACTGAGTTCAAGTGTTTTTGAAGTTATCCGCTGACAAGTTGCTACTTTTCAACTGATCGCAGGCTCAAGCTCAATTTTTTTAAAATGCATGATTATGAAATAAGTCGTGTTCATGACTAGTCTGCTACACAGCCGTTTTTAGTGTTGTCACGCAACGAGGACTAAAAACGGCTGCGTAGCAGACTAGTTCATCAGCCGCACTTTTAAAATTTTGATTTCTAACTGACTTCGGACCCGAAAATTCAACCGGCTTTTACATGCAGGGAAGGCAATCGCTTTTATCTTTTCTCACTGTCAGGCGTTGATCACGCTCTACGTCCAATTTTTATGTTCTGACTGGTCAAAATTTGACAGGTGAGTTCACGCGGAAAATTTATGCAGCGTCTGGAAACTTGCTTACTGATAGCTGAAGCTGACAGAGTTTTGTGTCATCTTGTGATGTTTTAAACTGCCTTTTCCCACTTGATGTACGAAATGAAATACAGCTGCTATCAAGATTGTTCTGTAATTCATGGCTGGTTTGTTTATTGCGCTTTTTGTTGAGAAATGCGCCGCTCGTCAAAGTCATTGGAAATCCGATTTGGGATAGCATCGTTTTCAAAAATGGGCTTACTCACTAGCCCTTGCTTGAGGCGTAAGAGGGTTGAAAAGTCTCAGGCGATTCTGGAACACTTGATGACCTTCAGAAGCAGCATCTCGACTGGGAAGCCTGAGCACTTATTGTCTTTGATGTGTGTGTGTTTTTTTTTTTTTTGGTTTCCTGCAGAAGTCGAGCGTATGGTTTATGCGGCTTAAGTATATACACGAGCAATGATCTAACATACAATAGTATCAGGTTTAAAAAGCCTTTAGACATTTTTTGACCGCAAATTCAAAGAAAACGTTCCGAAGAATATTTAGTTATGATTTTAGCTGTAAACAGAAAGCTCTGAGCGATTTTCTTGCCTCGAGTTCATCTTGAAAAGGGTCAAACACCGGGAAGCCGGCTTAAAACATAAGTAAGCTTATGCTTACCTGACTCATGATTTTCAGAGACACTTTACTCTCAATACTTGTCTTCGTGAGTGAAAATTATTGTCTCTGTACATGTTTCACTGGATTTTAATTATTTTATATAATTGCTGATTGTCAGTAGTCCCTCTAGCAATTTTTATCTCTGCACCGGTCGTTTCCAGTCAAACATTAACATCGCATGCAGGAATACTCAAAACGCCGGGCGTAAATAATCACTCGCTTTTAAAGATTACACATAACAAAACCATGAACAGTTTTATAAATAAAGGGAAATAAAACCTAAACATAACAAATTCTCTGTCATGTTGAAGCGTAAATGGTAACTCTTTAAATCGCACTGCAAATTTGGTGCCTGTCAAAAGTGAGAACCCGTCCGGCTGGCCGAAAAGGTGTTTTTGGGAATTTTTTTATCGTTTTCACGAAAAGCCCATAATTATTACCCTGCATATCACATAGGACCAGATTTTTCCAACTGAAAAGTCCCCGGCATTATGTAATTCTCTTCATGAAAACGTTTTATAATGTGGTCAATGCTATAATTTGTTGTGCAAAGGAAGGGCGTGCTTTGATCACAGGTAACCCAGGCTCACTGTTAGTGTCACGTTCGGATTTCATAACATGGTTAAATATAGAGAACATATGGGGCGAAGTTTAGGTCTGGAAATTTGCTAGAAAATGGAAATAAAAATCGATGAAACTTACCATGTGGCAAGTTGTTGTTGTCCTTAATGTGTACACGAAGTTTCGGGAAACCTTTTTTTTGTAGTCTTCTTCACCTTTCCTTCATAGTATGATATTTCGGGGTTGTCCAATTATTAGTCTCTCAAACGGAGCAATGTTGGAGAGACTGGTGAATGCCACACTATGATGCAACAGCTACTGCAAATACAATACACTTTCTAGGCCTAATCTACCATGATCGAACATGATTGCTATTTTTGGGTGTACAAATAAGACTATTAACTCGATGTAAAATTTGTTTCACTCTTGGACTGTCAAATTATTTTTCTCTAAAATCCCTTAGCCTTTGCCTCAAAAGTCACATGAATGTGCCCTGATCTGTGGATTACAAGTTTATTGTTTGATTTAAATTATGAATTTATTAACGGGAGCTTCGCTTTTAGCTCTGGCTAAATCTATATATTATTGATTTTAAAAATGCAATAATGCTTTAGTGTAACTCACAGCTCTGATCATGAACCATTTTCCACATTCTCTCTACAAGGGCTTCACATTGCTCCTCCCAACTGTACATTTTATCGTAGGATTTGTTCAGGGAGTTGATCTCCTTCAGTCGCATTTCTTGTCTTACGCGAACAGCTACAATCGCTTCTGCCCATTTTGCAGGGTCATCAGAATACACTATGCACGAATGGCCATGAGGAATGCTCTCTAAAGCCTTGGCAAATCCTGACCTACTGCCTACCAGAATAGGTAAACCGGCAGACAAGGCCTCAAGTGCTACAAGTCCAAATCCCTCTGATTTTGATGGCATGATGGCAAGGTCAGCTTCGCACAGCAAATCTTTTATTTTGCCTCTGCTACGAACGAATGTTCTGACAATTAACTGTTCTTTAGCAACACCACACTGCAAAAGTCTTTCCCTAACATCGTCTTGCTTTCCTTCAGGTGCACCAACAAAGATCAGTTGATAAGGTTTTTTCTTCAGCCGTGGGTCAGTAAACGCTTGAGCAGCAATGTTGTACCCTTTAAGCTCAAAATCCTCCTTGTCACCACGACCAAATATTAACACCCTAAAGTCACCATTGCAATGGGCAGATTGCACTACATCCCCAAATTCCCTATCAAAAAGTCCTGGAGTAAGCGAAAAAATATCCTTATCTTTTTTGCAGCCTCGTAAGTACGAAGAGTAAAACTCTGTTAGCCGAGGTCCAACAGACACGATAAGATCAGCACGCTTACAGAGGTCAACCTCAACCTGATGCTTTTGTTCCCCTTTTGAAGTAGGTTCACCGTAGATTTTATACTTGCCAAGGTCTTCTGGAGCAGTATGTACCACTTGTACCCACTTACAGTTGTTCAGCTGGAAAAAATTTCGGATAACTTGTCCTTGCCGGCCAAGCTTTACACCATGACCAATAACAACATCAATGCTGAGGTCTTTGGGTGGGAAGCTTAACCAGTCAAGAGGATTATAGCCTGGTTGATGCGGCGCATCGGCGATAGTTACTCCATAACTCCAAGCTTCTATTTTTTCCTTATCTTCACAACATCCCTCTGGAACTAACAATGTTACTTCCACTTTGGGATGTTTTGAAAGGTGAATAGCAAGCTCCCTGTTTAATGTTGACAAACCACCAGCTGAAGAATTCCACTCACTTCCCAGAAGAGTTACTTTCAGTGTCGACCTGGCAAAAAAGCTACCACGTTGTCTAAGCTCTGCCAGTTGATCAGAAGAAGTGGCCATGGTTGTTTAATCTAATAGCACACTGTAAAATAAAAAGAATTAAAACACAACGTTAATTTTAATCAGACATTATTATTCATTCAAAATATTTCTCCGTTTCTGATTGGCTAAAAGCACACGCATAATTCATCATAAGAAGCTACTGCTGACCAAATTTGGAAAGAATTTTGTCATATTGAACCGATGACGTCAAAAGTGCAGCCAAAGTTGCAGACTATTGAACCGTTAACCGAGAAAACTTGGGGACAAGGTTGAGTTGTTTTGGTAGTGAGAGCAAAATGGCTGAACAGTCGGCGAAACATTTCACTCGTTTCACAACGAAATAATATCTAAAACCGTAGCACGAACATCAAGACAACTCGACGGACAACATTTGCTATTTGGAGTATATTTGCAGACCTGAACGGACCTTTATCTCCTAAATTTCTCGATAGAGTTGCGCTATCGATATAAACTTAACATAGACCGAGGTAAGCAAGTCTTGTTTTTAAACTTCGAATTTTTTTGAATGAATAATAAAGCATTTAAGGACTGGTCAAAAAGTATAGAGGGGGTGGGCCGGAGCATTTGGAAATGTGGCTGATAAAAAACGCATGATCCACCCCCTCCCTTCGGCACAAAAATGACTGACCCACCCCTAAAGCAAGGTTGGAAATTGCATGACCCACCCACTAGTTCAAACATGGATGCTTGGTTTCCTCTTAATGATCCAATAAAACCTTGTTCTGTGCTTGACAAAATTTGTTGATACACTGCTACAACCAATATCAAAATCACAGAATCAAACTTTTCACTGAAAAGACAAATGTGAAAAACCGAAAATTTCTTGTTTCAATGGACGTTATGAGTCTTGACACAAATATACAGCAAAACGAGGGTATATTGAAATTATCTGTCACAAAGCATATGAAAATTTCTAAAAAGACAACCCATTCCTCTCCACATTACTTGCCGGAAATGCTTAGATTAATCCTTAAAGAAAATTTCTTCCACTTCAATGGAAAGCACTACCTACAAAACCATGGAACTACACGATATCTTCCCTATGGGTCATGAGTAAACCAGACATCGAAGCCTTCATTGGGCAAGTAAACTTACATCACCCAACTATTGAATTCACGGCCCAAACATTTGACACTAAGACTGCGTTTTTAGACACGGTTGTATACAAAGGCACAAGTTTCAAGGAAAAATCTATCCTTGATGCAAAGACACATTTTAAACAAACGGAAACCTTCTTGCACACACATTTCACCTCGTGTCATCCTCCAAATGTTAAAAAAGTATTTGTCAAACGACAAGCCTTGAGAATCCTACGAAAAAAACTCCTCAGAATCAACCTTCGACTAAAATAGTTCACATTTAAAAAGAAAAACGCTTGATGGACGGAGGCTACCCACAATCTTTGATAGAAAACCTAACATCAGAAATAAAATTCACAAAAGGGAGTCTAAACTCCTAAAACAAAACAACAAGGAGGAAAAAGAAATATTGCCATTCGTGACACAATACCAGCCCTCCGTGTCTACTGTAAAGGAAGCTTGAATGAAAAAATGGAATCTTAGGTCGAAAAACACGTCCTCGGTCTGCACATTATTAATTCTTCATATCCCACTCTGCCTCATTCAATAATAACTTTTGGGATCAATGGGGCGCCGGTTAAGATCGCCACCAAAATTCCCACTAAACATTCCTTAATGTAGTGTTTAGAAGGAAGGGATGTTGTCTAAATGAGTCCCAACGAGCGTGACGAGTGTTTCGTCGGAAAGTTAATAATAGGCCCCGATTGAAGACAAGGTTAGCGGTTTTAAGTTTATTTTTCTTTTTGTTGAATGAACTAAAAGGTTACCTTATTTTGTCACGCTTGCTTGATTCGCCACTTTATGCCCTAAATGATGTGTACAGGTCCGGTAATCTATGCATCCAAGAAATTTTGGTTCTGAGAAAATCGTCCGTACCAGGTACGTCGGTAAATACGTCCACCCCTTCATGTAAGAAGGGATGAAATTTTGCTTTTCAAGCATCTGCGCGTTTCGGCGGTAAATCGCTTAGCTTCCCGGCCTTTTAAAGATAAAAAGGCGGGAACAACAAATGCCAGTTCTTTCTTTCGACTTAATTTCAATGTCTACATTGACGTGGATAACAGAGAAAGAGATAGGGCCAGAGATAAAGACCGAAGGAGACCAATTTCGTTAGAACAAAAACAAAAAAAATTTATAGCAGCGGTGAGAAAAAGAAGAAATGCTAGCTGCCACCAAGGTGAAAATGAGCGGCAGCGAAAAAAAGTGAACAGGAACACCGCAACATTTCCTCCATAAAAAGTGTAACTGGAAAGTTTCTGGAAGTTCACGTCGTATTCGTTCAAAACAACGGCAAAGAAATGTAGAAAAAAAGCGTGCAAAGTTGTTTTTTGCTAATAAGAAAAAAGTGTGCTACACGTGCAATTTTTTTTTTCTTTTTTGGCTAATTATAGACCTACTGATTTTTTTTTTTTTTTTGGGGGGGGGGGGGCTGTTTTCGTTTATATTTTATTTAGTAAACTATAGATTTTAACAAGAGCTTCGCTTTTAGCCCTAGCTAAATCTATATATTGATTACACTATTTTAGGGCGATTTTCTTTCATTTTTTAAAGTCTTTTTTTCAGCCTATGCCGTCCGACAAAAAGGATAATGACAGCTAGCTTTGTTTTAAAGTGGTAGTGTTGTTTAATGTATTACTGATTTAAAATGTAGTTTTTACAAGAAAGATACCAAAATTGTTTTTAACTAGGATGTTTTAACAATATTTTAAAAGGAACTTTGGGACTGCGACATTAAACAGTTCAAAAATAGTATACCTGAAATATTTTTAACGCGCGCTATTTAATGAGGCCAGTTCAATTTTAAAGCTGATTTAAAATTATGGACATCATTAAATTCTTTTTAGCAGTATTTAAACATGCCATTTTCACAATATTTTAAACGAAAAATACCAACTATTCCGCTTTAAAAGACAATATTACCAGTTTCTAATGGAAAATTGTTTCCAAACATAGTTTAAACTGGCTGTTGGGTAACCGGTCAACTCGATTGTATAAAAAAGGCCGCTAGAGATAAAAAAAGCGTAAAAACGTTTTTTAAAAAAGGAAAATAATAATAATAATAATAATAATAATAATAATAATTTACATTTATATAGCGCAAACCTCTATATGAATATATTCGGTTGCGCTTTACAATATTTTTATATTAAATTTATGTTGAAGGTGACTAAAGCGTGAGAAACTATTAAAAACTACAATAAAAGGTATTAAAAACTAGAAGAAAATACAATAAAAGCCAACTATTAAATCTATTTAAAAGCTAAATTAAAAAAAAATCAGTTTTAACAGCAGTCTTAAAAGTGTTCAATGTCTTCATGTTGCGAACTGCCGAAGGTAATGCATTCCAGAGATAAGGTGCAGCTGACTAGAATGCACGATCGCCAAGAGTTGGATGGTAACTCGGGGAATATAGACTCATTTGTCCTTAGAGAGTACCTGGATTGCTTTTTGATAGTAATTAAATCAGTTAAAGCTTTACCATAGTTCATATAAGCACTTTAATGTCAAAAGTAGAATCTTAAATTTTATACGGAAACTTATCGGAAGCCATTGAAGGTGGAAAAGCAATGGTGTAACATGGCAGAATCTTGTTGTTTCTGTGACCAACCGAGCTGCGGCATTCTGCATCCGTTGGAGTTTCATGATATGTGAATTCGGGAGGCCATATAGTAGACTGTTACAATAATCTATTCTACTGGTTCAGAAACCCATAAGGGGTTGAAACGTGTAACTCGCGTTCAATGCTGGTGAATATTCACTTTTACCATATTTGGAAACCTTAGTGACAGATATCCATTTTCAACACAATGGCTCCTGCGAAGACAAGAGTTCTGCATTTCAGGCTTTAAAATAAACTGTTAAAAGACAAAAAATGGAAAGAGAAAGTTCAAAAGAATCCTCAGCTTTCTTCTTGTGGAGGAAGGGAAGCTTTTCATCAAGAAATCGTCCCTCGAGGAATTCAACCTTGTTTTACTTCACGACGGATCTCTGGTCTGTTTTAAAATGCAACCAAGGCAGTGAAGTTTTTGCTGAATTTTCAGGTACATTTTGCACTCTATGGCCAAGACAATCACGTTTTTGAAAGGGAATTTATGTATTTTTAAATGTTGCATAGACGTTTTATAAATTTTTCTCTTCGGCGCTAAAGAAAAATTACAAAATGTGCCCCGATTTGAGATGTATTTTGTGCTGAATTTTGCCATGTGCACAGCCGATTTCACTTGCGTGAACGGATCCACGATCGAGATAGTGTTTTCCGAATTGTTTTAAAGGATTAACTGTTGGATTTTGAATAAAAATTTTCAAGAAACGGCTTCTCTGTCTATTGTTTTGAGTTTGTTCATTCATAAAATTAGCTCAAAACACGATGGTCACTACAACATCCAAGCTGAATTTTAGCTTAATGCTTCTCGCATTCATTACACGCATCACTTTTTGCGAAGATGTCAGGTTCAGGTTTTGGACACTTTTCGATACGCAGCAGATCAATTTTATTCGAAGATATTTTTCACTGTTTATTCTAGACTTTCAATATAAGTATTTTAAAAGCCTATTTGCATTGTAAGTTTACTGTGCAGAGGGTCAACGAGGCATCGTTTTCTGAAGTGACAACTTCAAGAAGTTGCGAGGACGTCAAAGGGAATCACAATGTTATGTTTGGCCCGGGTGGTAAGGCAACAATATCCTGCTGAGTGTTTCGGTAAGATTCCTGGTTTCAACCTTTGAAAGCTTTCTCGGCTTTCGGGAGTTTTTCCCTCGTTTGTCGGCGGGAACCTGAAGTAAAACTACGTCACGTTGTTTACGAAGTTTGATTGGTCAGTTATCTCCTCTTCTCATTCCAAATATGGTACTTTCGAAAATGAAAAATCACGAGCATCGGACAAAGCAAACAACTGAGAATTACACGTTTCAACCCCTTATGAGTTTCCGACTGGTTATAAAAGCATGAACTAATGATTCAGTGACTGAACGACTTAAATATTTCCTAATTCTACGCATGTTATAAAGATAATAGAAAGCAGATGAGCAAGTTTTGTTGATATGAGTTAGCATACTCATTTTAGAATCAAACCAGGTTCCTCGCTGGTTTCGAACTTCACATGTTGGAGCAATTTGGGAGTCCCTCACCGATAAGGTACTAATGTTACTGACTTTCTGAAGTTGTTGTCGCGTTACAATCAGAAGACATTCTGTCTTATCCGAATACAGTTTTAACTTATCCGAATGCATCCACTGACTGATATCAGCAATACATTCCTCCATGGCAGTTATAGCAGCGGTCTCCTCCAAATCATTTCCTGATCTAAACACGATATACAGTTGCGTGTCATCTGCATAACAATGGGGATTAGGAAGATGTGATTTGACAATCTTAAAAAGTTTGTTGGCATAGAGAGAAAACAATAATGGCCGAGACAGCTGCCTTGTGGAAATCAAAATTTAAGATTAAAATTATTCGATAGAACTCCGTCTATTCTGTTAGAAAGGTACGATTCAATCCAATTAAGTGCAGAGCCTGAAATTCCAAAATCAAACTGGAGGCGATCTAAGAGAATCCGATGGTCCACGGTATCAAACGCGGCGCTTAAATCAAGAAGCACTAACAACGTGACCTTCTGATTTTGCATGGTCATCAAAATGTCATTCTTGACTTTAAGCAGAGCAGTTTCTGTGCTATGGTGCCGTCGATAGGCTGATTGCAATGAAGTAAAAAGATCATGCTCATTTCAGTAGGACTGAATCTGATCAGCTGCCACTCTTTCAGCCAATTTTGGAACAAAGGAAAGATTGCTGATTGGTCGAAAGTTTTAAAAACCAAGTCAAGACCTTGGTTTTTTTAACAGCGGTGTAACAACCGACTCTTTCCAAATGTCAGGGAAAAATCCTGATTCAAGCGACAAGTTTATCGTATTTGATATATCGGAAGTAACTCATCAAGGCAATCTTGCAAGATATTGGTGGGAACAGGATCAAGTAAACAAGATTTTGTCGGCGCTCTGAGCACAAGTTTTCTTAAAGAGTCCATGTCTACACGGCGAAAAGCAGTAAAGGACAAAGAACAATGAGAAGAGTGGTGGTTAACAGTGCTGCACAAATTCTCAGTTGCATCAAGGCTAACACGAAGATCCGATATTTTCTTAATAAAGAACGACCCCATGTCATTAGCCAAGGGTAACTTATCGCCATGAGGTGGAAAAAGCGTATATGCTGTCTGATTTAACAGTTTTTTGTAGCAGCAAAAAGCTTGCGTTGATCATCAGAAAAGTTGCCGACAAAATCTGTGTAAAATTCACGACGATACTTATTCATAAGAAAGACAACTTTGTTCCGAAGAAGTTTGAATGCTCTCCAGTCAGATTCAGACTTTGAAGACCTCCAGTTACGCTCAGCTATCCTTCGGCGACGTTCCGCAGATCTGATCTCACCGGAAAACCATGGAGCTTGAGCTCTTTGAGTCATGGATCTCTTCCGCCAAGGAGCGTGCTTGTCGGTGTTGGACTTTAAAGTAGTATTAAAACATTTAACGAGATAGTAGCAATTCTGAAGTACGGAGAATCAAGACTTTTAGGGAAAAAATATTTTTCGGGAATATTTGTTTGACTGACGCTTACGCGTGTAGGCCGCATCTTTAGTGAAAACAACCTGAGTATCAAAACGTTTTGATGTCTGCGAATAGTCTGAGCCAGTGACTATCCATGTTAAGATGTTACGTATTGTATTTTTTTGTTGGAAAGTCCTGACGCATCATGGAAAGACTATATAATTAGTAGCGTGGGAACGCTCTCATATGATTGGCCAAAAACTAATGTTGCCGACAAGCGGAAATGGAGTAGCACCAGTGTTGTACGGGCTAGTCCCTGACTCCTCCAAAGGCTTTCCCATGACTAAGTAGGGATTGGAGAACACGCGAGAGCTGGAGACAAGCGAGAAGCGCGAGATGATGGGAGCGAGCGTTGACCGCGAGCGGTGAGTGATGGGAAGGAAAAGAAGAGAGGGAAGGGGGTTCGCTTGTTCTTCTCTTCCCATCACTCTTGTAGTCCCAACTTTCCTTAATAATTAACTCAAATATCCCCCATAAAGAGATCGCGAGCGACTGGCCTGGGGACGAGGCAGAGACAGTCCTGCTACTGAGATTAACATATTAACAAAGTTTCATGATTTGTTACTCGGTGCGGCCTGTATTTTTTTATCACAGCTCTTAGTACCCGAGAAAATTTGCTAGCAGAGGTAGTGAAAATATAAAAATTGTAAGGTGAAAACCGGGTGCGCGTGTTGGGTGTAAAGCTATCAAAAAACAAACCAAAAAAGCATATGTTCATGACTTGAACGAGATTATTTCATATCATCGGAGAATAACTTACACAAAGCCCGGAAAACTGAGGGCACGAACGTTTTCACACCTCTATCGGAGAGACTTTTTTTCATGAATGTGAAGGGTCGTGTAAGGAAGGTGCCTTTAAATTCTACGAGCCAGAGTCTTTTCGAAGAGCCACTATCTACAACACATGACCTTTTATCACGCACGACCAAACCACCCACCCACGCCAATTAGTCAATCTCGCTACCCCGTGAGCTTAAACTAACCGTATCAAATTTTGCCTATAGTTTAGGTTGCGTTTTTGAAGAAAATAGCGCTTTTGTTTCTCACATTCTTTTGCGTTTCGATAAGCGGCGTTCGACCTTTAATCAGGTATGATAGGTAAATTTTCGGTGTGATATTTTTTTTAACTTAGTAGTGGTCTAGTGGGGCAAAAGTTTTAAGCGGGACCTCTCTCCTCCGCCGAGGCTCCCGCTGGGTATCCCTATAAAAATAGCAACAATTAATCGAAAAAATACACAGAGGCCTCTGCGGAGGAGAGAGAAGGGGAATGGCAAAACGATCAAACACGGCTGTTTGACCAGAGATCACGCAGTGAATTAAGGTCATCCATTCATGACGCGCCCGCGTAAAAGCACAACTTCGGTTATTGTAACTGGAAACTTCAAATTTTGTTTGCGCAGAAATCTGTCCAGTAATTTACCGTCAGATGTCGACAGAAGCGTTTATACTGACTGAAAGTCATCTCATGGCCTTGTTCTACTAGGCTTTGTCTGCTTTGTTCCTCGTTTACCGTAAAAGTCCACAAACCATAACGTACAAGCCGAAATTTTTAGCTCGCGTACATATTTGCAAGACGATATTCTGGTGCGCTAGCATTTTATTCTCAGAATAACTTGTGGAACGTTTAAAAGTTTAGTATTCTAATTTTAGACTCGGAATTGGTATCTCAAAAGGTTGGCGTTATCGCACTTTTCCTTGTTTGAGTGACTTCATTGTTTCCAAACGTAACTGACTGATATCACTATGTTTTTCTCGCGTGCCCCAAGATCACTGTGGAGAATGGATTGCCTAAACTTGGTTATTTGCTGATGACTCTTTAAAAACAATTGATGGCTTTTTTCTTGACATAATAAGAAGGCACACGGAATAAAGTCAAAAATCACTTCAGTCTATGGCACGTGTCGGTAACCAAAGGATTGTTCCACCTTTTTCGTATTAAGAAAAAGCCGGCTTGACAAGGCGCAGATTTCGAACGGCTTTACTCAAGTAAAAAATACGGGCTTTTACTCGTTTGATTCTAATTTTGTAGAATACTTTATTCTGTGATAAAAGTAGTTTCGAGGTCATACAAAACACTAATCTGTGGAAATGTTTCGCGTGTTGTTACTTGGCTTAAAAGCTGAGCGGGACTCGCGGTTTGAAGACAAAGCGTTAAGACAATAACGTGAAAAGGCGCTAACTTTAAAAGCACTTTAGGGAAAATAGCTGGCTGAGGGCCTGTTTACATGGAGGTGAGGGACCCCAGGTAGGTGAGGTAACTCGCTTAGGTGGGGTAACCCGCCTGTCCATATAATCTCTCATTTTAATTTGATCACGTTTACATGATAGGTGGGGTGACCCGCCAAGGCGGGTAGCCCGGTCTACCAGACCGGGTTACCCTCTCAGCCGGGGTCAAATTTTGCCATGTAAACGTTTCAAGGTGGGGTAACCCGCCTGGCCGGGGTCGGATTCGTGATACATCAAATTCGCGCAAATTTCACTTTGGCGGTGGCTTTGCATCATTATTAAAGTTAACCATAGAAAGCCATTGTACTGAAGGGTGCAGCAAGAGCAACAAGGGAGTGTAGAAGTGCATTAATCGCCAAAACACGTGTTTTGCCAGCATTTTTCGTGTTTACGTGCTTAGCGACCATTCAATAATCTTGAGAAAGTGCTCCCCGGGATGGCGGGGTTGTAAGATTGCATATAAAGGAGGGTTATTTTTTTACCCCACATAAGCAGGTTACCTCACCTACCTGGGGTTCCCCACCTCCATGTAAACAGGCCCTGAGTTGACTCAGTTTTGTTCATCGTCGCAGTCCAGCTAGAAACTACATACATTGCGAGGTCGTGATTTTTAACCTGCAGGTTGTTAAGTGGCCCCGCGAAGTTAATGTGCATTTTTTTCGTCGGCCTAGTCTAATACGGCTTTATTTGATAGTGATGTTAACATTTCACTTCTGTATTCAACTTTTTCACTGTTTCTTTCTTCAGCTTGTCGTATGGAAATCTAGCACGTTTTGATGTGATTTTCGCTTTGTCGGCTCAGCTTGTCGTATGGAAATCTAGCACGTTCTGTTTTGGTTTTCGCTTTGTCGGCTATTCGGGCCTGAAAACTTGTTTGCTCATTTGAAGTGCTAAGATTTCGGGAGCAGCCTTCATAAAAATAGCCTGATCCCTCTCCTGTTAGATCATTTCTACGGTATATTTTCTTCAAAACCCTACTCCCCTAAGTCGGTATTTGTTACGCTAAGGTGGCGTACGTAGATTTGAAGTTCGCGGTCGATGATCTGGCAACGCATCGCTAATCGTTACCTTTGTTTCGCGAATAATAGAGGCAGTTTACCTTAAACAATAAAAGAGACCATAAAAGGAGCTCGTTACATTGTTCCAGACCATTTTTGACTAAAAGGGTACCCCTTTAACACATCTTGTGTTTTAAAAAAATCTATATCTTTAGGAAGAAAACATACTGTAAGAAACATTATTTAACAAATATCAGTCGATGGTCCTCGGTAAAAAGAATGGCAAAGAGGAAATGAACGTGCGTCTAGGTGGAGTTAAAATAGAGCAATCCAAAACTAAAAAGCTGTTTGGCATATATATATATGAATTCAAAAGCCATTTACTAAAAAGGACAAGTCCTCAAGAGAATATTATACCAATGCCAAAATTGCAACTATTCAAGAACGCTTTTATACCCCTCTTAACATATTGCAGGACTGCCAGGTATTTTTGCAAAGCTTCTGACAGGCGCAAGATGGAGAAGAAGAGCTGTGCTATTCAACGAAAGGAACAACCTATTACCAAGGTATCTAAGAAGGACAATAACAATCCTGCCACGCTTTTACATTGTTAATTGTCGGAAACATATCCTGTGACATACTTACATGACACTTAGGACCTTTTTTCTAGGTCAAGCTGATGTCACCTACGGAACCGCGCTGACCAGGACACTGGTTTTGCCAGTTTGAGAAGCGTTTACCTCAACCCGAAATCAAATCTACGCGTGGGACACATCCGCTTCAATCCTGCCTTGCGTTTCATTCGATTTTCGATCTCTTACTGAAAATCTCTTTTTGAGCAAACTTTTTCTCATCCTATTACACTGTTTTTTCATATTTGGTTGAAAACAGTATTCAAAGGAACATGAACAGAAGAGGTAAGAAACGCGTAGGTGACGGGCGGGATAAATCGCCTTGGTTCGTTTACCACTATAACAAGAGAAACGAATCAGTAACATTGGCGAGCAAATAATCGTTATATATATTTGGAAAATCGATGGAAAAGGTTACATATATTTGCAAAATCAAACTTTCTCGACCGTGAAACTTTGACAATGATTCACACCTCTCAATGGTATATTAAAAAACGAGTACTCTAATATGGCTTAGGGACTTTAATCAACACTTCGGCTTGTAACTAGTTCAACTCTACAAGGTTTGTTTAGAGTCGGTATTCCGGATACGGTATTGTTTCACGCGCGTCTTTCGACATGCAAATCAGCTAAGAAATGGTATCTAATGCGCATGTGCATCAGCTGACTGTGTCCCTTTAATAGATTGAATGCTTTCTAGCGTTGGATAAGGAAAAATACTCAATAATCAAAGGTGGTGGTGTAAGGCGGATCTGCAATTTCTGCAATAGTTAACCTTAATTTTAATAACTATACATTTTTATTTTTATGCCATTGTGCTAATCTTAAAATGAAGTTTGTATTAGCATGGTTTTCGTCTCATCTCACCAATTGTAAACAGTTAGTATCAGTGAGTCTAATTCTTCATGTCCATTTCGGGTGTATGTTCTTGGTCAGTTACTATGCGTCTAATGCATGGTTCAATTGTACTTGTAACCATGCCCCCCTCGGGGAGTTGCATTTTTTTTCTTTATTGGAGGTCTATTCCCCACCCCCGGACACACAGAAAGAGACGATTCCCCACCCCCGAGCTCCTGATCGACCTCATATACGTTTTTTGCTACATCTTTTTTATCCTTGCAAAAGCAAAACGACACGTTTTCAGATTTTTTATGAACGTTTTCCTGAGTTTATTGAGAGAAGGATAATGGATGTCATAATGTAGTTAAAACGTGAACAATAAACTCGAAAACGAACTCGAAGAAGAAAAACTCTTTAAAAAGCGCCTCCTTGATAGAACACTTTATGTGAACACTGGACCGAATCTCCGTTTCCCTTTATACAATGATGTGAATGCTACGCGCGCTGTGATTAGTCGTTGCCCATGATCTATTAGAGTACAGATACATGGATGACGTCACGGGAAACTTGTTTTCTTTGTTTTGTTCAACATGGCACGCGGTTTTGAAAATGTTTGTGAGATTATTTCGGATTGAGGCAAGTGAAAGCTTCGGAAAAAGTTTAGCAGGAGCTATTTACAAAGAAGAAAAATGGAGAAACGGAGACCAAAAAAGCTATTGACTACTTGACAATGCCTAAACTACAAGAAATCTTCACAACAGTTTGCCACCGTGTGTCTTCGCTACGAGAGACTCGCTGTTTTGCAAAATGTTTTCGCTATTATTCTTCTTTGAGCAAGAAAAGACGGTGAAAAACTTTTCGAAGAAACTGTACACAAGCAAGATAAAGAAGAAGCTAAGATGAAAAGTTGGGTTTGGGACTTAAAAAATGCCTAAACTAGCACAAATCCTCAAAAGGTCAAGCGGTTCGAGGCAGGTATGTGTATCGGTCTTTTTCTTTTCTGATCATTGTATAAAACAAATAGATTCCATGTTGCCGTGGGTCTGTTCAGTAATAGATCACAGAGGACGTCAAAATGTGGTAAAAACAACGTGTGCCACTTCTTTGTTTTTACGACATTTTGACGTCATCTGTGATCTATTACTGAACAGACGCACGGCAACATGGAATCTATTTGTTAAATATATATCAAAAGCCTTGTATTCGTTTTCATACAGAAATTTATCATTATCTAAAGCTAAGCTGAAGAAATATTTCTGTCCTTCCTAACTAAAAATACGTAGTCTTGAAGTCCGCAACCAGCGTGTAAACCACACGAGAAATAACACGTACTTCGCAAAATCAAAGAGAAGATATTTTTTTATTTGCCCCAGCCCCCTACCCCCGGGTCAGGACCACTTCAAACATTTTCCCACTCCCGGGCCCGAAGGGCAAGACTTGTCCCGGGGGTTGCCCGGGGGGGGGGGGGAACAAGTAAAATTGAGCCACCTATTATATACAGCACCACTTGGGGACATTTTACGCAAACACGAAGTTAATTTCATTGGTTTGCAGACGACACTTAACTGGATATATCACTGAATCATTTCTCTTGAATTCACGAATTTATCGTCAGTGCAGATTATTCAGTCTTGGTGAAAAACAGCCTATGCTCCCAAAATAAGGAACCGTTCGCCGATTAAAAAAATTATTCTTCGTTGAAAACGTCTAGTCACATGTAATGCTGTTATAGTTATAAATTTTAACACTCTATCTTTGTAATTCTTAGCCTGCGAAAACATCCTTTTCGCAGACGTTCCTCCGCGCGAAACGTCCCCAGCGGCGAAGAGCGAGGAGAAACGGATGTTTTCGCAGGCTATGTAATTCTCACTTTTTTGAACATACCGCACTGTCCTAGTTTCCGATCACTTTAAGGCTAGGGCTAAGTAACAGTACTTCAAAATTTGTCGTTTTTCGCTAACTTTTGTTGTGTTTCAGTTTGTGATTAAAAGAGATTGTTGTATTCTGATGTTTTCACATTCCTTTCCGCTAAGCTGTCACAGAAGGCGTTGCGTGACAACCCTTGAGCTCTTGCATTGACACAAACTGTATCGACCGAGCGAAGCCTATCTATATCCCACAATAAATGATAATTCATATTAAATGTGGTAAAATTTTATCTACTAGATTAAAGAACACAATGTATGCGAAGTTGTTTGTTACAACGATTTAGGTGAAGGAGGTTCTTATAGCAATACAGTAGATTTATTGTAAAACTTCACTTGTGCACACTGTGTACCAAATGCCTGTTTAACCCTTCTCAGCCGCTTACAGTGTATTTTGGGTAATGTTGGCAACCTTTTCTTCTACGGGTTATGTACTCGTTACTCTCTTAGGAATGTTAATGAGCCAAGGTCGCCTCAAATCGGGTTGCAATTCCCTTAGCACATTAGACCTTCATCACATTCCGATCTGCCATTTAGCACTTCACATACCGAATTATAACCCGCTGCTAGCCATTTGTTGAAACAGTCGATTCTCCTCCCTAGTTGAAACTGAGTTCACGCTAATTTTTTAAAATCTATTTCGTGCTGTGCAATGGGTTATGTTCAGAAGTCGGCTGTCTAACAAAATTTTCGCCAAGCCGAAACCTTGGCGATTATTTATAAAATATATGTCCCGAAAAGTGAGGACAAGAAAGCCCGTCACGAATTCTCAAATCCTTGACATTTCATAAATTCTCTTGTTTAACAGAAACTCATAATTCCAACATTTGTTTGGAGAGTACTTGTGCCCAGTTAAGCGAAACCTTGCGAACGACAGGAAATGCAAAGTATCGTCGGTTAATATGACTATCAACGGGGCCGAAAAGCTGTTGCTGTTTACATGCAAGATCGAGGTTTCAATAGTTTGGCATCTAACCTGATAAAACTATCAAGTTAATGAAACAAAATGCAGTAGTTTGCGAGCCAGGACCCGAGCTTCTATTCTTTATATATCGATTTGAAAATTTGATTTCGGGCCCGAAAAGTTACCGGGACTTTCGAGAAACCGGCTCCTACACCGTACATGTTAAAGTAGTATCTATGCCGTTTAAATTTCGAGACTTCACAAATCCCTCAAGGTTCCTCCGTTCTCAAAATACCTAAGATGATATCGCACTTACCCTTCTTATTGTCAAACGGTAGTCATTGTAGTTTATACCATTCTAAATTCCGCTTTCATCGGATATGAATTCTACCAGCCATTTATGTTGCCACCATGGGCTCATCACAACAGTTACTGATTTGATTTTGTTCAGTTTCAAAGTGTATTTCTCCAGGCAACAGCGAGCGATCGAAGCTGGGTTGGTGGAATGCTTCCGTTTATCGTCCGCGTTGTCACGTGATTTATGTAGCTCATTACCAGACTCTATCTCAGTGAAGTACGGGTACGGGTCTCGACACGAGTTTTGCGTCACTCGAGTCACGAGACAAAAGTTTATGCTTTCACACTTCTCTAAAATAGAAGTCGTGCAAGAAGTTACAAAATTTCTAGCCCTCAACCTACAAAAGTCTCTATTATATGCGTTCTCGGCTCGGTCAAAGGCCTGGACTCCCCGACCAAAAAGGCTTTTTTTGTAAAACAGAGCACTTTGCCTTCACTTCTGTAAGAACCTGGAGCCAGTCATGACCTGATGCCAGTCATGAGTCATGTACGTGTAAATTAAAACAACAGCTTCGGAAGAACGGCTCCTAAGGTTTGGAATTTAAATCTACGTAAGAGGTAAATGAGAACAATAGATAGCATAAAGGTACAGCTCAGTTGTGTGGCGAGGCCCCGTAACACCTCAAACTCCGGATCTGGAGGTGCGGGGTTCAAGCCTCGCCCCTTAGACAAGGAAGCTCTTGTGCGCCTTTCCCTTACCAGGCTGTTCAGTACAGAATCCAGGTCTAATTTCGCCAAACTAAATATTTCTGAGGGTTGTATTCCAATTTAGAATAAAGGGTGACAAGGTTGATTGTTTTCTTCTTCTTCTTCTTCTTCTTCTTCTTCTTCTTCTTTTATTTTCTTTTATTATTATTTTTTTTGCCCCCCTCCCCCCCCCCCCGAAAACAAAAAAAACCTTTTTCGTCTAACGGGGGGATATGGAAACCGCTCATGAAAGGTCTCTGGCGCTCAGGGTAGATTTACCATAAATCCTCTGTTAAGCCCACCCTTTTAAGAGGAGGAAAGTTTTAAATAAGCCCTCCTCTCCGCATCCTTATCCTTCATGACAAGATCACAAACAATTAACGTGGACTGGTCAGTGTTTATTCAGGCTGGAAGTTCATATTGTTTTTGGCCTTCGGCCGCATGACTTCCAACTTTAAAAGACAACAGCTAGCGGAAAGCGCATTTTTGAAGAATGAGAATTTTGCTTTTGTTTAGTTTTAGGCTCCCACATGTGAATTAAATAATACTGTTGACAGTGATTTGTGCAATACGTAAGTCTACTCTGTCTCTTACTACGGTATTTTTGCTACCAGTGATGCGTTTCGCTAAATTAAATAAGCTCGCCTCTCTTGAAAAAAAAAAAAAAACAAGCGTCCGCCCGGGGGGCTTAATAGAGGATTTATGGTAGCTGGGCTGTATCGCAAAGCACTTGCCCCGTCTGGTCCCAGCGAGGGAGCAGGTAGAGTTTCGTTATACGTGAGAAGGCCTCAAAGAAAACAACACTAAGTGCATCGAACGCAGTCTGACAGGGGCTAAAAATACAGTCACGGTCCGAACTAATTTGAAAATATTTTTGACAGCTGTACTGCTAAGTCAATTCTTAGCTTTGCATTACAGCCCGCGTTGCAGCCGGCCCACGCATCGTCTAAACCATCGCTTTGGGCAGGCGGTGTTGAGAGTCTTATGCGATGCATGCTACGTCCTATAGACTCTCCTGTAGCTCAGCTGCTAGAGAACCTGGCGCAGTCTGGGTCTCAATTCTTTTTTTCAGACGTTCGCTCAAGCGTGATAAATTATATTGACTTCATTGACATTGTCTGGCACATCTGGCAGTCCCGTTTGGTTCCCCTTCTGTGTTTGCTCTAGTTTAAGTCGCTTGCGTCATTTCCAGAGTTAAGCGGGCGATCATTAGACTACTTACAAAACAACGCGATCAATTAAAAAAGGATTAGAGCACCCACGTTTCTCTTGGGGTGCGTGTATGCGTAACGCTTAGTTAATGCAGTAACTTTGGAAAGTAGTTTAGGAGACTGTTAGCAGTATAAAAATAATAATAATAATAATAATAATAATAATAATATACAGTATTTATAGAGCGCGAGTATATGAGCACACTCATCAAGACTCTGTACCTAGGGTGTTTCAGTCTATGGACGTCCCTTTAAACGAAACGTATCCACTGTGGGACAGGATCGACGCATCGCCATTTGTCAAACATTTAGTTCCTTTAGTCCAATTTTCCGAGCGCCTTCTTTAGCATGTACTGTGGCCGCTGTGTCAGTGAGGTCGAAGAATAGTTCGTTTTGTTAAAAAGAACACAAATGTCTACTTCGAAGTATACTCCTGATCAACCCCTTCTCTTTCTCCTTCCTTTGAATTGTCAACTGATTAAGTGGGATGTTGCGTGGTAATGATATCTGCTCTCTTAGCTGTTAAGGCATTTAAAAAAAACGTTTTTGATCTTCACAAACCTCATCTTCCCTACTACCTACCTTCCGCGCACAGTTACCATTTTTGAGAGCATGGTATAATGGCTCGTATACCATGATGGCTAAAGCAATTCAGTTGACTTTCTTACAGCGAATATTATTTCGTTATAACCCTAATTTTCTCTACTTAGTCTCGTCAATCACTTTTGGGTGTCAGCTTTACTAAAATCAAGGTATAAATAGCATGAATTCACATAAACTCCACTACTAGTACAATTTATAAGAAACTGAATATATAGAACATAACATAATATAACATCACAACTTTATTTAAATGTCGATGTGTTTAGCTAATACAAGCTAATTAGGGACACTACGTTAACAGAAAAATATTTAAAGTGTTCACAGTACCAGATAAAAAGTTATAATGGTTGTTATAAAAACAGTATAATATACTAGATCATTCTACTATCTCCTAAATTTAAAATTTATAAAAAATTATGAAAAATTATGAAGTTAACCCTATAACTAAAACGTACAGGAAAATGCTCAAAATATTACTAAAATTCTTAAGAACTACAAATTATACAGCACAGTGACGTCATCAAATTGTAAATTCAAAATAGCGAGGCTTTACAAATTCTTATTTACACCAGGTTGAAGATAAACAAAAAGTAAATCTTTGTACAATTTTCCATTCCCGTAGCATGTTTCATTTCGAAAATACAGCAATTTCAACTTCCCAGTTTTCACAGTGCGTGACACCAAAATAGGAATGCTGTCTAGTTGAAAAAAATTATTTCCTCTTGATTTTCAGTAGCATAACCATTTCAAGTATTAGAAGATATGTTTGTGCGCACGTATGCTAGTTCTCGAGTAAAAAGAAAGACCTTTTATAGAAAAAGTGAACTCCAGATGTTTCTGTTGATTTCCGGCGCCCATATTGGTGCACCAAAACGGTACACCAAAGGGCCACAAAGACCTGAGACTTGGACAAATTGTTTATATATTAGTCTTTTATAACATTCATTTTCTTGGCTTCTTCCTTTGTTGCGTAACAGTAAAAACGATCTATAATGTCTACAAAGTTAATGCGCCGTATGCTGGACTTAAAAGATTGAAAGCTAGTTTTGTCTTTGACTTTGCCGGCTGCCCGTGTATACGATATATATGGTCCATAGTACCTCAAATAATGTTTTCCCGTAATGTACAGTAATAAATCTGGGTATATGAAAATCCTTACTGACGTAGCCAGCTTTTCTACTAATCTAATAATTTTTTACTGATCTCAGGTTACATCAAAACATGTTCCACAAACTTAAAATTGTCGTTGTGTTATTAAAAATTCTGACCAAAGAAGTAAAAATGGGTGAGCGATAGCTACAAGGCTCCTGTTGAATGATTTTTGCTGTAAGTACAAATACAAAGAATATAACCATCAAATGACACCGGCCTTAGAGATCCAGACTCACTTCAAAGTCACCTTCTTCGTCACTTACTGTATCTGATCGGATTTTGATCGAGGGAAACGAAACTTAGTTCGTTTTAGCGGGGAGTTCGAGTTATGGGGGTTCTACTGTAGCTGTTGTCCGAAACAAAACTGAAGGCTTCGACAGGGTCGTGTACACGACATGATGACACGAGTCCAAACATTTTTTAAACGCACACTTTTTTAACGCGGATCCTAGTTTCGCTTTTTTCACTTTCTTTTCTTCTTCTTTTGTTGCTTTTCGTTTCTAAAAGATAGATACGTTACCTACAATGCCTGCGTCGCAGACGTACCAATTTAACCTCGGTTAGTAACAACCTCTACGAAGGAGCGCCGAGATCCTTGTTCTGGGTCCGCAAAGGACTAACGTAACGAATTACCGGAAGTGCGTTTCGAGTTTCCTTTCATCTTGATTGGCAAATTGACAATGGCTTTTTTAACAGGCCAATCATGACGCGTACTCAAATTCTGGTACACAGGTGGGGGGCCTGAACAAGGATTTCGATGTGGTTTCGCAGGCGGACTTAACCAGAGTTTAGCTTCGTCTGTGACGCAGGTGATATGTTAACAATGTAGTAAGAATAAATTGAAAACTTGCTCAGCTAATTTTCAAATTATTGAAAAAATAACCTGTGTACTTGTACCACTTTCCCCTATAAGTTAACCAATGGGCTTGTAAATACTGAGTCCCGTTCAAACGTGTGTCTTGGTCAAGTTGAGTCAACATCCTCTTTGCTATATGCGCTATAATTTTTTCTTTTTCCAGGGGATGCAAGTGTGATTGTTATCTGAGGACAAGGGGACGTTGCTGAACTTCCAGTATAAAATGTTGCTAAACCCAGAGCGTCACAACAGCAGAAACTTTAGTGCAATCAAATTGATTTAGCGCGGTGAGAAACCTCTCTAAGTCCGATCTTACCAAAATATTCTAACGCCAGAAATTGACGTTAATGCCGCAACGCTGGAGTTTTAAAAGTTTTAAAGGAGTAACAAGGGAAAGGTAAAAAGAGGTCTCATAAGACGAGTAAAACAATAGAGGGTGCTTGAGATCCGACCACGAGTATGAACTTTTGACAACCCACCGCGTTCACTGGGCAGTGGCTGTTGCCAAGCAGAAAACAAAGAGGCTAAAGAAATGAGGCCAGTATGAGATTCTTCCTGCGTAACAGCCTGCTGAATTGAAGAATTCGCTTTATGTACTCGTCCTTGGATCTTAGCCGCCTTGACAACGAGCTTTTTTCTATCTTCCCACGAAATGTCATGAGCAAGGGGAATATAAACCTGTAATGAAATGAGCTCATTTACAGAAAGTCAGCCGCTCCTGGAAGGTCACTTTTCACCAATCTGTCATATAGTTCCCCAACGTTTAAATAGCGGTGGTTAGCCATAAGATCTAGCACAACGTCACACGGATTGGTGGTTCTCTTGTCAAGAAAGCGAATATCGTAGTAAGACATGCCAAAGCTCTCTGCTAGCTGTTTCCACTCGTCTCCGCCTTAAAAGTAAAAGAAAGTGCTCAAATCCTGTTTTGCCGAACCACGAAGCTGAATAGAAAAATTTCAGACAAAGAACTGAAGCCTAGAATACATGACAACATTTTACTCCTCCTTGTTTAAAGCTTAAAGGTTTGCACTCAGGTTATGATTAACTAGCTTGAGATTTAATTATTATTACTAAAAGCCGTTGTCGATTATATGCGGTCAAACTAGATTTTACAGTACGTTAAGGTGAATGACATATCATTAAAAAAATAAGAGGAATCTTATACTGATGACCCATCAAACTTTACGGCTACGGCAAACGGCAAGGATGAGTAATAGTAATCGTATGGCCATCTCTGCTGTTTATTTCCTCCTGCTTACCCGAACCCATTTTACTGGCTTTAACTCTCCTCGATATTCATCACTTAAGAAACTGGAACGAAACTTTACCGAGTTAACTTTCGCAAAGACGTCTGGGATTGTTACTAGGGACAGGGGGAAAAACTGGCCAATAGCTGACGGGCGCGTCCCAAGTAACGATCCCAGAAACAATTGCGGAACACTTGCAGTTCACTTCTCGTTTCTTTATATAGGTAATAGCATGATTTGTAATGATATTTGGCATAAATACCACGAATGATATTCCAAAATTGTTATCTGAAATTCGAGAAAATTTTGAAATATCACAAGTGGTATTTATGCGAAATACCACGCACAGATCATGCTATTATTTGTTTATACTACTACCCGCAAAAGGTTTGTAATTTTCACATGTACGGATTTCAAATTAAGCTGAAATACCACTGCTCTAAGCCAATCAAATTGCTAAAATTTCTCATGTAGTAGTATAAAGTGGCGAATAGCCTGCGGACTCACGTCTCAGTCTCATTTTCTTCATTGCTGCACTCAGGCTATCGTAAGAAATGCCCAGAACTTCTCTGTCAGTTCTTCCCGCCTTAAGAATTTTGGCCTAATTATATAACAATTATACCACGAACACGTGTTGGATTGGCTGGTAGATAGATACCGTGAGGCACAAAATTTTTGCGGGTTCTTATTTTTGGAATGTTTTGCGATTTTTTCAGCGATCCGCAAAAATAAGTTGCCGCAAATAAAAACTACCGCAAACATTTTTCCCGCAGAAATTTACTCCAGAGTAAATATTCTCTAATTACTTAAATTAGCTACACAAAAATACAGTACTAAGAAATCGTGTCTTTTCAATGATCGGCAACTTGCCTCTTTCATTCAGAAACAAAATGGTATACAGTGAATTACTGGTTTTACATAGGATACGCATACTGTAGTCATCGTTTGAAAATAAGTATTTCTATAGCACTTAATTAAAAACGAAAACATTATCAATGCTGGGAACTGGGTACTTTCTGAAAATCGTAAAAATTGATTCCCAGCAAGAAAAACCAATCTGTCCTAATCACAGAAATTATTTCCCTCAAACCACAAAAAATCGCCAGTAAGGTAGCGCTATGTTGAGTCGGTCCTGTTTTATGTTAAAAGCGCCCAAAAAGTATCATGAACTGAATCCTCCCGAGTTTTTTATTTTTTATTATTATTTTTTTTTTATGTTAAACAAACCGAAGAGACAAGGGACTTTTGCTTTACATATGTCTTACGTCTATCAGAAATGTCACGTCTTTATTATCCTGAACTGACTGAACAAATGAAAATATTATGACTATGAGCAATTTGAGATAACTCATCAGGATTCTCGGACCTAACGTACATTGCATTGCTCCAGCTGAAGAGAAAAAGCCCGGAGATAAGCATACATAAGGCCAAAAGTCGATTCTGGTTTGTAGACTACTGGTATCTTTCTATGAATTAGCAACACTTTCAATAACCAGTTAAAATTTTTCTTAAGTGTCTCATACATTGGCAACGATCGTTTACGACTGAAAAAATCGCGTCGCAGATACTCCCCGTAGATAATAAATGATCGCAACCAGATTGCGCGGTCCAGCAGTTTTAGTGAAAACAAAGGTTTGGGTGGGGTGCTAAGTCTCGCGGGCTCATAAAGCCTGGTCTGAAGGATTTTCACTTTCCCCACCGCAAAGAGAACTTTCATTTCGCTTCTAATCTTGAGAACTGCCGTAGAGCAGTTATTCATGATACAATAATGGCTAAGTTAATCATAACTCTATACTAAAATAACATTATGATTAAGTTTTTAATAAAAAAAGATTTACGAAAAGAAATTTGTATAGGTAATAGCATGAGTTGCAGTGATATTTGGTATAAATACCACAAGTGATATTTCGAAATTGTTACACGTAATTTCACGAGGCGAGCCGTCAGGAGAGAGAAATTTGAGACAATTTTGAAATATCACGAGTGGTATTTATGCCAAATATCACAACAAATCATTCTATTATTTGTTTATACTACTACCCGCAAAATGTTTGTAATTTTCACCTGTAGGTATTTAAAATTAAGCTGAAATACCACTGCTCTAAGCCGATCAATTTGCAGAGATTTCTCATGTAGTAGTATACATTTAACTGAAATACCCTAGAAGCTAGAGCCTCAAAGCGTTTTTAGCATTAAAACACAACAGCCATCTTAGGATATAGTTTCAAATCAGTTACTATTTCTGAGGCCTAAACCTAACACGGGAGCACCTGGCATACCCCTTGACACTAAAAAGTGTCTGCAGTTACAAAACCTTGCTGTAGTTAAAACAAACAAACAAAAAACACCTACCACTAAGACAAAATGTTAAGTCCTTTCTCTCCTTGAAAGGGATGCGACGCACATCAAGATTCTCGTCCAACAGGGGTCCTGATTAAGATTTAACTAGGTGTTAATGAATTTTGAAAACAACTTAATTTGGTTTTTCGTGATTGCGCAAGAAATAGGATCTACGCAAATCACGAAAACTTTGCCTTCCACACCTGGATAAAAGACCGGGGGGCACTCCCTTATTTGGCCTATACGGGTATATGCCGCTGAACAGGGTATGGTTTTCAAGGTCTTGAGTCTTTTAAAATACAATTTTACTATTAAGTATCGTGAACAGGGTGAAGTCTTGTTGGACTGGAAGCCTTTCAAAGAGTGTGAAAACTTGCGATGAGCGCACTACATTTGCAATAGCAACATTTTTTTTCCTAAATATGTATTTCCACGATTTTAGTGTGAAAAATTACTTAGTCAGTCTGAAGGCAAAACAAAGCAAATCAGAGTCAGAAAGTAGTGTCTCCTGTCTTAAACAGGGTATCGAAATGAGCAATTTTTGTCTTAAACAGGGTCGGGGTTTGAATGCCTCAGCGGCACACCTCTACCCTCCCGGGATAAAAGAATCATTGAAAGAACTGACTCTTTGAAAACCGACGATTCTTTTATTTAAATTGATATGGAAAGCAGTGCTCAAACTAGTGACTTTGTGCATGGCCATTCAGCATTTTTTTAAAATGGGAAACTATTTAGTTCCCTTTTATATTATACTGATTGCCAATTAGCCAACAGCGAAGACACGGCAGCAGCTCGAAGTGTTGTAAAGGCGAAAAAATGTCGACTAAATTCTGCCTATATATATTTATCTATTAGTTTTCGATAGGGTCATTTTTACTCCCTGCAGTTAACGTTAAGATGCGATTTACTTGAGCACATTTGACCGCTCCCTTCCGCAGAGGCTTCCCGCACGCTTTCTTTTTCCGTCTCCCCATCCTGCCATACAAAGAGGCCTCTGCGAAGGAGAGAGATTTTGACCCAAATTTTTGTTAAGCCCGAACTTAATGGCTTAAAGGGAGCTATGCCCTTGGCACCATTTTATTCGAGAAGACCAGTGGTGGGACTAAAGTGTTTCTGAAATCCTTTGAAAACATAGTTTACTTTGCGTTTCTTTGTTTGGTTAGTTTTTTATCTTGCTTTGTAGATCAACCCCTCTAAGATTTGCTAGAAATGAATTAATGACTTGTACTTGTGAAAGGTATAATTTCTAGTTTCGTTGTGAACTCACCTGTAGTACCGGGTGGTGCTAACGTCCTCAGATACTTAAATAAATCGATTCTGTTTTGAGATTTAAGTTCATTGGCGAGACGCCGAATCCACCTTTCTGTCTTCTGGTCGGGATTCTCTAAAGTGGCTGGATTTAACTGCGACCACTCTTGAAATCGAACTACAATTTCCTCGGGACTGCTTGACTGAGACTGGATGCACCGAAGAACACCACAGGGGAAAGCAAATAAACGCTCTACAAAATACAAAAAAATGTCATCAAGCTCTGTAACACCGTTACAATTACAAATTAATTAAAGATTAAGAGTTATACAAGATACAACATAATCATACTACTGACCCTTGGGAAAAACATTTAAAGTGGCCGTACCTTCCTGGGAAGTTACATGGCTTTTTTCCTTGACCTCGCATCCAGTTGCAGCTTGCTCCTTAAGAAAGATAATAATAACTGCTCTTTTGGAAATTGAAATTTAAAAAACTGTAAAAAACGTTAAAACGTGTGCGTGCGTTCCAGATGGAATTGGAATTTGGAAGTGTTGGTTTTTGAGGGGAGGGGAAAACCGGAGTACCCGGAGAAAACCTCTCGGAGCAAGGGAGAGAACCAACAACAAAAGGGGAAGCAAGGGTGGCGCAGTGGTGAGAGCACTCGCCTCCCACCAATGTGGCCCGGGTTCAACTCCCGGCGTCGACGCCATATGTGGGTTGAGTTTGTTGTTTGTTGTTGAAAATTTGCCATTGATTGTTCTTTTATAACTGTTTTGTACTGCCATTTCAGTCAAATGATATCAAGCGTTCCTGTCGCTAGTGGACCAATAAATTTATGAATGGAAAAATGATTTGGTTTGTAGATTCAATAATATATTCATAAAATTAATACTCGAATAGTCAAATTGGACTCGATTCAATAATCAAATGTTGAGTTGGTTTATGAACAAAATCTACCTGTTCTTTATTCTTGTCTGTTGTGTTCAATCGTATTTGCTTCCCATTTCCTACCGGTTACGAATGCGTTTTTCATTGCTTTTAATGAAAATAACCGCTAGAATGCTTGGACCGCAAGTGTAGAGAAACTGACAAAGGCCGAATTTCGAAATCCACCAATCACTGCACATACACTGACCTCAGTTTGACCATCGTGTTTTCTAAGAGGTCTAGAGGTCTGTTGCACTGATTACTGGCAGCAATATGGCGTACATGTAACAGTTTGTTTGGGTTTGAACTTCAGAACTTACCCGCACTCGACCCTTTGAAAGAAAAAAAAAAAAAGGAAGAAGAACCAAAATTCTGAAGTCGACTTTTGGAAACTGTAGTTTTTGAAAAAACTGTAATCGAATCAACATTCGATTATTGAATCGACGCTGCATGTGAAAATTGGACTGTTCATTTTATGAACAGAGTATTAAATCAACAAACGAAATCGTTTTGTCATTAATGAATTAACTAGTTCGTTAGCGACGAGAACGCTTGACCTGCTTTGACTGTAAATTGTAATTAATAAACATATCCAGCCATTTCAAAAAACGTTGTCGGAAGAAAAGCAAAAAGTCTTCAAGCCAAGACCGCAAAGTAATGTGGGTTGTTTAAAATCCGTCTTTTGCTGGCAAACAATCACTTCACTAAACTGGTCGCTGATTTTTAGTCGTCATTTATACTGAACCATACTGATCATTTTAGTTTTTAAAAAAGCACAAGGTAAAATTACTTTTCAGCCGAAGTGCAGTCTTGCTTATTCCCATTTTTGAAGGCAATTTTGTTTAGCTAATTAGCAAGGAAAATGACTTTAAATTTTACATTTTATCAATTTGCATAACGTAGTAACGAAGTGGGCGAAAAAAAAAAATATCACAAACAAACTTTTTCCGAATAATGGTTCCTACTCAAGAATTAATTAAGACTCGCCAAAGTCTACTCCGGGCAATATGTAGCACTACACTAGCATGCGAGAATGTATGGACAACCACATTGCCTTTATTTCACGTTGTTCAATTTTTTAAATGATGGCGATTCCTCTGGAAATGAATTCTAAAGGACTAGTTTCAAGTTTAAAAAAAGGAGAAAAGAAAATTGGGGTCTGCTGTTCACCTCCCCTATAAAACATGAGAGATTTCAAGCCGCAGCCGGGACCAACGGCCACGGACAAAAAAGCGTAATCCACGTGCAAAATGAGTTGTTGTAAGTTTTGCTAATTTAAACCTATTGTAACTTGTTCACCGTCCCTTTTATCGCCATTGTATTTGCTTAAGCTCCCTACCGTTTGAAGGCCCTCCAACCACTGTTTTAAGAGTTGTACAACGTTTAGAAATACTCTCACTTACAGAGAGACGCTCCATACTGTTCTCAGGGACATACTGGAGTGGTCGCGAAACTCCTATGGGACCTGTAGCAGGTCACTATAAAAATCCTATATTACCTTTCGGTCTTGGCTTAAACTTTTTGCTTTTCTACCGACAACGTTTTTTGAAACAGCTGTATAGGAGTAATTAAGTCAATACGAGTAAAGTCAGTTGATGACTCGACGAAGAATAGCACTCGTTACTATTTTTTACAAATTGTACCTGACAATTGCAGGACTACACGTTTAGGTTGTTTTTACCATCAAGGTTGTTTGAAACAGGATAAAAACCTCAAAATCGAATATAAAAGCCTCTCGAAAGAATATAAATAGCTTCTCAACAAAACAATGGAACAATGCGTTGAATAAAGACATAGACCAACCTGAAGTGAAGTCCTGCTTTCTTGTGGATCTGAAAATGTAAACCAAGGCGTAAACAACTCGATGCGAATTCTGCAATCCCCACGAAAACCAGGTTGGGTGCAGTATTGACATTTCAGCAGCTCGGATTCCGACAACAAGTGAAGACACTCACAGCCACGCAAGTCATGAGAACGACATTTTACAGAACCCTCCTGCGAACACACTGGACAGCAGATGCACATTTCGTATTTCATGTTCTTCAGCCAGCTAAACTCTCTGCGCATGCACTCGCGAATCAGTCTCAGTTGCCAATGTATTTTACGACTTGTAGTCAGACTGTGATTGTCACCACAGCATGAAAAATCAAATTTACGTGAGCGTAATGACAGCGTAAAGTCAGCGTATAGTTGAATTTTACACAACTTTACGTTTCCTTTACTCTACGTAAAGTTCAGCTTTACAGCACCTTTACGCGTACATATAAAGCTGGCGTAATGAAACAAAAACTTTACGCAACACCTTTACGTTGTGCGTAAAGCTTGTGTAAACCCTACTTTAAGCTTGTGTAAAGCGAAAATACAAGCTCCTTTACGCCAAATATATATATACACATAAACACACTGGAAACTTTAAAATACCGGTAAATATAATAATAATCGGTAAATTTTTCTTACCAAACTTTTAACAATCAAAATTTTATTTTTGTCCATGTCACACAAACATTGGATTTTTGTTGTGTACTTAATACCGGTTATTTTCTTTGGTTTCCCATCGTCTCTCCATAGTATTTACAATCTGGAGCCATGGAGGATTACTCATATATACATTACAAATAATTGTATGAGTAATCCTCAATTCAAGTTTCGACATAAAATAAAATACCCTAATATGTAACAACACTTCAACACACTGTTAAAGGATTAGGTCAGAAATTTTGTTTTTATTCTTCAAAACTGACAACAAAAACGAAAAGTTATAAAGCGTTGAGAACCCAACAGACCTATAGAAAAATAAGAACCCAACTTCAAACTGACATTAGTCATCCCTACTATTAAGTTATAACTTGCTTTAATGGAGTTATATTGTTTAACCAGTAGATGAACTTTGAATAAGTAGTAGTTTAAAAAATAGGGCCCCTTTCCGTTTCCAATTTTGCATTACCATAACCAATTTTCAATTTGCCTATCTTTATTTTTACATTTCAAATCCCATGAAAATCGCCAGGTATGCTACATTGTTGTAACTGCAAAAGCTGCAAATACGAATCACATTCTTTAAGTTTAGTCCCGCAAAGAGTGATATTACAAGGTTTTAAAAAACAAAACACGCTGATTCTCTAAAACTGAATTTTCTAAATATAACATGATTTATTTCTGCGTTAGCATCTTTGTCATTACATTAAAAATAAAAAAAAACGAAAATTTTTCCAACACGTAAGGTTTAAATAAGAAGATACAGTGTACATAAACTTTTCAAATGGGTTAAAACAGTCTTCCCAAAATATCCAAAAAAATCATCTTAACTTAGTATTATACCAAATTAAGATGATTTATAGTTTGAAATAATTATTAGCATTTACATGTAAGGTACAGGGTGTACAAGAAAACTGATGAAGTTAAATTTTGATAAAAAACAGCAACTCTAACACGCAAATTAATGTAAAGGTGGGTCAAAATGGTCTCTTCCAAAATGAAAATATTTAGTATAATTTAGCATAATTCAAATTAAAAGCTTAAACAATTTTAGATAAGAAATAAAAAGACTGAAAGCCTAATACATGTATAACATTGATGGTTTCTTGATTTAGCCCTTTCACTCCCAGAAGTGTTTACAGTCAAACTTAACAACAAAATCCAAATAACAAATCATTTTCATAAACTGATGATGTAAAAGTTAGATGCACAAGGCTGTCACTAAGATTGCAAGTTGCAGGGTTTAAGTGAAATTAGTGAGCGGGACATTGAAAATGTGGAAAGTTTCGTTTCCTCTCAAAACAGCCAAGTATTGGGCTCAAAGTAGCCGATTTAAAGTCTGGTTTATGGCCCTTAGTGACAGCCCTGGAACCAATTTACAAGACTAAGGCTTGTAATTAACATGTATTAATCCTGTTTGCTTTGAGAGGACTTTCTGTCACCAACATCCCATACCAGGCTGATCTGCTGAATAAATAGAAAGCAAGTATTATTTGAGTAAACTACACAGATTATTTGTAGGCTAGTGATAATACACTTAATCGCGCACTAAAGGCACAAGTACATGTACAGTAAGGGGGTGTTTACATGAGAAAACTCACACCGGCGCGAGTCTCATACCGGGATGACTTTTTGATTTTGTATCGGGTTTACATTATGACTGAGTCATTTCATATCTCGTTATTTGAAGGTACACTTTATGTTGATTAAAAACAAGTGTGTTACAAAATAGCAAACATTACGCGTGCGCTACCTATTCCAGTCTACCGGCAGACCGATTTCATGCTGAAACGGGTGGTCGTTTCCCATTTACATGATACTGCCATGAGATTTTGTACCAGAGTGAAATTCTCGCCCCGGTACAAGAACCGGGGTGAACTCACGCTGGGGTGACTCGCGCCTGCATGACATTTTGTGGTGGTATCATGTAAACAAATATAGAGCTATGAGAGGGAACCGGAGTGAACTCGCTCGGGGCAAAAAGTTGCCCGGTGTCATGTAAACACCCCTAAGTTGCCAGAGGACACCGCCTGCTATTACTAATTAATAATATTTTTTCCTACACTCATGGCCAAATTACTACAATCAGCACAATTTTACTTGACACAGGGTTCCCCACATGCCTCTTTTCACAAACCAAGACTAAAAATTTGAAAAAAATGATAAGGCATTTTCCACAAGTGGTCTAATAACAATGCAAAACCTGAGTAGCAAATGATTTCAATGTCCACAAATTCACACAACTGAATAAGATTCATCTGACTGTTAAAGATTCAAAATGTTTGACTAGTATGAGTTAAAGGCTTTCCTTAAAGGCAATAATATTTACATTCAGAACCCTACTTGCAGTTGAGTGAAAATCAGGGTAAAATGCTACATGGAAACCCTATAATAATAATAATAATAATAATAATAATAATAATAATAATAATAATAATAATAATAATAATGAACTTTATTAAAGTCTCATGTCTTATAACACAGGCACAGTGCCTTACTAGTTGGGGAGACTGAAGCATATATATACCGGTATGTTAAATTTATTAACAATGGTTTATTATATTATTAGAGTTCAATGTTTTACAATGTATATCTTTTTTTATTTTAATGTATGCATTTTTATAAAAGTATCATCCATTAATATCGTTGTAAAGTGCTATGAAAAACCACTGGATGTACATTATTATTATTATTAGAGAGTAAGCAGTGCGCAAAGAAAGTAGTGTCCGATAGCCCGGGGCTAGTGGATTTTGCTATCGAGCTAGTGAATTTTGAACTTAACTTGCCCGATGGGCAAGTGAAGTTTTTTTGAGGAATTCAAACTAACGAAGAACTGTGAAATCAATTCTGCTCATCAAAACGGTTTGGGGGCTAGTTGAAATGACATTTGGGCTAGTATATGCTAGCTTCAGCTTGCCCGAATGGCAAGCTTTAAAAATCACCTTCTTTGCACCCTGGTAAGAGAGAAATTTTCCTATCCACTTGTCCTTCACACAAGCAATACATTAAATTTGGTTGTCCAAAACCTAGAGTTCTTGTCCAAAAAGTTTAGCTTGCAACGGGCATTTAATGTTTTTAAACACATTATTTAATCACATTATTACCCTTTATTTTTGAATGAAACCTACAACAGAGTTTGTAAAAAAACAAATGGATGAAACGACTGGCAGTGGAATGGCAAAGTTAAATGGAATATTGTTTCTCATCTTTATTTTTCTAATTAAAAATGTGCTTGTCCCACGGACAAGTCATATCAAAGGTTTACATGTTCGAACTAAATTTCTACCTGTCCCGGACTAAAGTTCCAAATCAATAAACATCCCTAGCCTTCTCATGAGCTCCACCAAAGACTTTCAGGGAAAATATAGAAACATATAAGCACCTCATTCCCAAAAGTTTCAAATTTTCTTGAAACTTTACCAATATATTTTTTTCCTTTTTAATACGAAACGTTCAAGGTTCCTAGTTAATGTAACAGGAGTGAAGCCACTTTGCTATTTAAAGCCCTTATCCTCAATCTTGAAAACAATGCCTGTAAATAAAGCAGCCTATTTTCTTTCCTTGCCACCAGGGACATTTCACAAGAGAGACAGTTGTATTTGCAGATTAATAATGGTGTATGTAGACAAGAGAATCCAAAACAGCTATGACTGCTATGACTCTCTTAACAGTCTTATCTTTCACAACTTGTTTCTTTAAATTTTATTTTCCTTTAAACCTAGATTTACTGACGATACAACTATGGTGCAAATAGCACAATTTCTGGTTTCTAACATGACTGTGTGCTTTGCTTCCCAAAAAGTAAGGCATTCAATTTCCTGACAGTATGTGCTGCACTATATCCTCTCAAGAACCGCAATATAATTTCATAGGAGCAGTGCACAATGAAGATTAAAATTAATGGTAATATATGAAATGAATCATACTTTGAACTGCAGATGAAGGTATGAAACTGTGAAGATGTTAACAACTATGTTGGCACTTACATGAAAATACATTCTAATTCAATCATGGTCTGCATTAGCTATGCATTGAAAGACTCATGAAAATGTCTATTCATTCTCTGTTCATTTAAGTTAAAACCCACGTAATTTAAAATCAAAAATAAACTTTTGTATCTGCTTCAAAAAATACATGCATGCTGTTAAATTATTCACCACTTATGACGCTATGACTGCCCGGGGAATTGGGAAGCTTGGGTTTGTTATTGACTGACGCATGAAAATATAGAACCAGACTACGTAGATTATCTTTGCCTACTTGCAAATTCAACACTTGTTAACACTTTTCTATTCTGTTTATTAGTTCTTCTATAGTCTGTGAAGATTTTCATAAGAATGGTTGTATCACATTACATGTAAGCTTACTTTATACAGATGTCCTTTCTTAATTCCATTATTTTCTTTTAGTAATTCCCAGTACCAGTGACCAAACTCCTATTTTCCAGTACAAAACAAGGAAATTCTACTCCTTCAGACCCCCAAAGTCCTTACATGATTTTACATTATCATCTTCAACGTCATGGTCTCGTTGCTAGCTTAGTATTGAAAGGTTATGCCAAATAAATACACATGTTTAGTTATAATTTACTTTAAACGGTTAATGCTGGTTTCATTGCTCACTGAAATGTTAGTTACTGAGTACTTGAGACAGTCATTCGAACTCGTCATAAACAAGTTGGAATTAAGCTTAAAAAGTTAGAGAAAAGGCGAGCCAGGACAACTTACCTTGCCTTACTATCTGCTCTTTTCAGCGAGATCTTGAGTATCGAAGAGCCTTAGTAATACGTGTAATACAGTCTTGGTCTGTGTTGTGAACATTCCAGTGTTAATGCTTGTGCTTCACACGATGTTTCTGTCTCCATTTTTGACTGAGTATCTCGTCCCGAAAGGGTTGCTGCACACTTGAGAAGTGATCGATTACTAAAGGCTGATAGTGCTATTATAAATTGTAACAACCTTAAGATGTCCTGTGATGCTATCAAGAAGCATAATATATGAACGATCTCCAACCTTTCAAAGACGCAAGTTTGAAACCGTTGGACACTTTCAAAATGGACGCCAAATCAACGAACCTGATTGAGCATGTGCAAAGGAACAAGCCCGCTGACCAGGTGTCCCTTCACTCGATTGTTTCCAGGCCCCTTTCTTTTAACAAATTGTCCGTTCCCAAGCCTGAAGTCCGCGGACTTAAAATAAGGAAGCGATAAAGGAGGTTCAACGATGAAGCCAGTACTCCGTTGAATGTAAAATGGTCACAGTAATTTGTGAATGCGGTCTTTCTCTTTAAGTAATGCGTTCTTTCTTTAAGTAAGACTCGCCGTTTTTGCGAGGCGATATTTTTTCTTTATTTTCCAATTATTTCAATTTGATCAAATTACAGTTGAAACTCTCTACAACGGCCACCTTAGGGACATCGAAAAAAGTGGCCATAGTAGAGAGGTTGAAAGAAGAGTAAATGTATGTCATGTATGGACCGTCCGCCGAAAAAAAAACAACAAAACAAAAATGGCCCGTGTAGAGAGGTGACCGTTAAGGAAGAAACACCTTATACTGACTGAAATCAATGAGGGAATACTACTGAGTATTGAAGGCTATTGTGTTTGCCGCGACAGATATGCCGTTTTTCGAAAATTGCCAGCAGAATTTTCTTTTCAGCGTCATTTTTAAGCGTGTACGAAGTCGTTCGCACCACCAAAAGAAATTTGCGTGGTTGGCTTGTTTACATCGCACACCAACATCGAACACCAAATGAGTGATCAAAAAAACTATGCGAACTAGTATCAGACACAAACGACTTACTAAAAACAGTGCCGGGAATAAATTGCCGTTAGGAATTAAGCTAGCATTATATGACAACCTTACTAAACCTTTACTTGTAGCGTAAATGAGCGTAAAGCTGTTACAACAACTTTATGCTAGCTTTACGAAACCTTTAAGAGCCGAGCGCGTAAAGTTACCTTTACAAACCTTTACGCGCCGTGGAAAGTTAGCGTAAAGTTGGATGACCAACTTTACGCAGGTTTACGCAAACTTTAATTTTGCGTAAATCTCCATTTTCATGCTGTGCACCAATTCTATCTGTTGCTATTGCTTCAGAAAAATTGCTTCCATAGTGAAGAGCGATTTCGATAGAGGAAGAATGGCACATGATAATGACAGACGTTCCTTCATTAGGAAGGATGTGGAACCGAGCAAAATTGCTAGACAGTTGGGGATGTATCCGGCTCTTCCACTCTTCGTGACACCATTGGTAAAACTGGAGTACTAGACGCGTGAACAGGCCTGGTGGCACTCGTCGTACTTCAAACTTCACAAAAAGTGAAGGTGTTCTCACAGAAGCAAGGAGCTCCAAGACGTCATTTGTAGGGGGTGACATCAACATGGATGGCACAAGGTATTGTTTGGTTTCCTTGTCTGATGGCCAGGGACACAGCAAGCTGAATCTCTCCATTATCGCGATAAGGCTCTGAACGGTTTCTATACTGTATTTATCAATCAAATGTTTCCACCCGGAGCCTTTCATCCAAGATTCTAGTGCCCTGCAGCTTGCGCCAAAACGGTTCAACGCTGGCTTCTGTAGGCTCATAACGCCTAACAGTGATTACTTTTTTGAGGATGTCAATGAGCCACCGGGGGTCCAAAATCACCAAGTTGTTTAGTTCTTTTGTTTCCGCAAAATGAATCAGAACCTTTTGATCATGCAAAAAGTCAAGCATAGTCCTGAATTGTTGATCGTCGTCGATACCGCATTTGTCAGTGGCAATCTGCCTTGCTTCACGAATGGCCATCAATTTGTAGTGATCGTCACGTAAAAGCCGGAGAATATGTTCAAACCTTAACCACTTTAATGGAACGGCTTCCTTTATCTGAGGAAGACTTCGGGCAACAGAAAGTATTTCTTCTCTAAGGCGCGCTACCTCTTGGCACTCGTTTATACTCCCTGACTTCGTGTTGTCTACAACAAAGACGTCCTTGAACAAATGGTGTTCATAAGGCTTGGTTCGCAGATATCCATAGATATGGAGCCCCAAACCTCTAGGATCACTGGTTTTACTTAACCACTTTAATGGAACGGCTTCCTTTATCGAAACGGTCACGGGTTCCATTTTGTAACCAAAGCACTTCGCTTAATAGTTGATTAATTATATGAGCACTCACCTCCCACGCAGGCGGCCCGGGTTCAATTCCCGGCGTCATTTTTAGTATCATATATGGCCTGGACTGAGTTTGTTCAATGTTGGTGTTTTTCTCCCCTTTGGTTAACTAGTGATGTGCTGACCTTATAAAAACATTTGACCTTAAACAGCTGTGCCACTGCGAGTTGTACTGCCGTCGTGAAAATAACTACAATTACAAAAAAATCGGCCCCTGACGAAGGTACGCACAGTTTTCCACTACCCTCCTTCTCCCGCCTACCCACCTCAAAATGCCAAATCCTTTGTAGATATCTTGATTAAATGTGAGGTTTGTTGTAAGCGACAAAGCGTTTTTACTGTATTATGAAATGACATAAGTTATAAAATTCTTTGTCTCCTTACTTGGTTGCACGTCAACCGCTTATTATTAACTAAGCCCATAACAAGCTAGTAGTACGTATATCCATGGATGATAGAAAGACTGGATAGGAAACTTGTGTCACTTGTCAGGCGGACTAATTTCTTATCGCTGATTGGTTGTTTCGTGCTCCGAGATGGCGCTGGATGGTTCCATCATTGTGGAAGTTTGTGACGAAACGATGTGGCGCAAACCGTCGAAATATAGGGTTTGCTTGCATGCTACTGTAGTTTTTGGTGTATGTTTTTCCTTTCGTTTGTTCTTTTTACGCCGATGGCGACCCCTTCAAAGCCACACTTGAACCTTCGAGGAAAGCACTACTTGTTGTTGTTTTGTGTTATTTGTCCTTGTCTTTGAGAAAATTGCGTCCCAAAACTTGAGCTTAACGGATCCATAATAATAATAGTAATATACACTTATATAGCGTCTTTCTCTCAGTGATCCAAAGCGCTTTACAATCAGTAAATACTCAGAAAACGAATAATTCAAATACAACATAACAAGATTTAAAACAACCAGTTGGCTATTTACAAGCGTGGCCGAGGATTTGAAATCGGGATAACCGAGAACAACTCCAGCAAGTGGCCAGCGCGGGACTCGAACCCAGGACAACCAGATTGCAAGTCCGACGTGCTGACCACTCGGCCATGCTGCCTGTCCCTGGATCCACATTTAGTAGACTTGGCGACTGTTTTGGGATGTCTTTATTGAGAAGTTTTGCATGGAATTGTAGCATAGGCATAGTACAGAGTGAATGCTGTAATTTTGCAGCCATACATTTCGATTGAAAATGGCTGAAATATAACTACATTTGGAGCTGGCGCTGAGCAATTGTAGGCACATGCATAGTGTACAATATTTCAATCGGCAGTCTTGTTGTTTGATAAGTGTTCGGTGGACTGCAAAATGGATTGTTTCAAACGGAATATGTCATGGATGTTAGGTAGAGTTGGGTTATAGGTAACTGTGAAAGGGATTCGGTCAGTTGTATGTTTGGTGGCTGGTTTATTCTCTTTTAAGGCTTCATTTCGAGGTACCTGTTTTGCTCTGGTGATTTGTTCTTTAATGAACGTCTTTTGTAGCCTCGTTTTGTAAGGTAACTTCCTAATTCAGATGATCCGGTTTCGAAGAAATTATCTATGGAGGAATTGCGCCGTAAGCGAAGAGCTAGGCTGTAGGGAATAGACTTTTTAGTGTGATATGGGTGGCTTGAAGAGCGTAGAGTATAAGTACTGGTGTTTATATCTGTAGGTTTGCAGTAAAGATCAGTTTCTATTTTACCGTCGTGGAGTTCAACGTTAGCTAACGTTTACATCAACGAAAGGGATATTAGACATTGTTGAGCGTTCAGTAGTGAATTTAATAGTAGTGTGTATGTTGTTGAGGTACTCTATAAACTCGTCCTGCTTTTCTTCACCATGTGTCCAAACCATTAACATGTCATCACTACCTGAACAATATATGTTTTATAGTTTAGAAGTGGAGGTCGGAAAATTGTCGTTTCGTTCAACACCCCATTCTTTACTATTCATTATTCACCCCACTGATCCCGGATTTTGGTAGAAAAAGACCTCTTTATCAATGCCTAATAATTTGCGAGGTCACTGTTGTAGAGGCTTTGGTAAACGGGGCGTTTTTGTTACGCACCCTACAGTCCAGTATGAAAATGAGGCTGAAGTGTAATAAATGAGTTTGTTATCTTCCCTGACTTTCACTCAACTAAACAGGCACTGTAATAGAGGTTGGTTATTGGCCACATGGCCTTGAATAAAATCAAATGTATCCCGATCGTGATACATTTGAGCACACATGCATTTAATACAGCACGTGATCAAAGCATGGTGGAAAGTGGTGTGACAGAAGGCGGGAAAAATACTTCCAGTTTTCTTTTTTACTGTGTGAACGCGACGACACAACTGAATCCTCAAGCTAAAAAGTGACGACTTCCAAAGTTATCTCAGAAGAGAAACAGCACCTAGTGGAGGAAAACGATGCAGATAATGTAAGGAAAGTAATCACAAAAGATCGCTATCAGTCAAAATAAATTTAAAAAAAATTATGCAAATTTTTTGTAAAAAAGACAACTGCATGACTGATATTAAAGAACAGATCAACAACGTGAAAGGACTGTTGTTAAAAGCCATTTGGTTAACTAACATCAGTCTCCATCAGGTTTTTAGAGTCTTTTGCAGCTTTAAGTTAACTTTCCGAAGCATATGCCCACTTTTTACACTACCTCGCGGTACGAAATTCCGTATCCCCTGGCTTAGAATAATCTTCCATCCTCTTTAACAGGCTCAGTTGTTAAGTATCTTTAAATTAAGACTTAAACAACACACAAGGCAGGCAATTCAATGCAAGCAAGTTTTTAGATTTCAAATAATATCGATCTAATACCTACCGAAAATTGAAAGAAGGAAAATAACACCAAAAGTGACGGGTAAATAGGTATGACTAAATGCATGAATAAGTATTACTGTCGTCGATCAGTTTATACAACGTTCCCATACTACATGGTTATTCATGTAAGTAGATTAAGTGTGAAGCCATACCAATCAACGCCTCTGCTAATTCAACCTACTCGTTATTAAGTTACGAGACTCAAGTTGTACACGCTATAGTATCACTGTTAGTAGTATTAAAATTGATTTGCATTTATCTATTTCCATCCTTTGCTACACATAACAGTACTAAACTAGTAAACACCCGCTAATAACACCTCAGTGGACCGGTTTTCAGTCTAGAGATGTTTCATGTACCAAGACACTATGTCACTTTATCCGGGCTCCGGGGAGTCACCAGCCTTGTCAGTGCTTTTAATGGAAAGCGACTATGCGACTCTGGATAAAGATGCAGGAGATGCCTAATCCTGCCTTTTAAAAACTGTGGTTTACAGTTTAAGGTCTCACTGAAAAATTTGCTTACGTTAATCATACAGCATTGTAATTAGAACATCTTATTGTGACGGAAGTCTCTTTTAAAGGATTAAAGGAGGAATGGAAAGGCAAACTTGTTGTAAAATTTAACCAGGCCACACCTTAAAGAGAAGAGTCAAAGATTTCTTATAAAAGAAGCTAAAGTTGCGACATTCGTCATCGAGTCATCGTAGGCTTTTCTTGCAGCTAACTTGTTCTTTTTTTCCCTGTTTCCATGTTCCTCCCAATAACAAAGCTTCAACTTCGGGTATATAAACCACAAACCACCCACTATCCCCTCCTGTATAGCTCTGACGAACAGGGTAAGCGATCGAAGCTTCTCCCTTCAAATGGCCATCTACTTCATCAACTTAGTTGGCAAAACTACATCTTGGTATTTCACTCCCCCAACGACGTAACACCAAAGTACTAAAACTGACCCCTCCATCGCGTGTTTTATTTGGGCAAACTGAAAATGGAAAGAGTGGATTGAGCGGTTTTCCAGAACAGTGGCTAAAATCCGTTTTTAAAAACTGTTCCTTATTCCCCAATCACGCCAACTAAATATGTTTAATTAAACTAGATTTTAAGAAAAAAATAAAATCGGTAACGGTAAACTTAGAAAACAGGCTTTTACACACAATTCAAATAAACTTTTCTCAAGAGAGGATAGCTAGCCATTTTATCCTCTTTTGAATTACACTAAATTTGCCACCAATAAAAGTACATAGAGTAAGCAGCTTTTATAAAGATAACAAATTTAATCCGTGTTTAACTAAAAAGTTTTTAAACATGTTTAAGCTTCGATGTGAATAGGGTTGAAAGGTGCCATGGTAGCATCGCACATATTAAAAACCTCATTATGTACCTTGTCTATCTTACTATTTTACAAAAAAGTATTAGAAAAGAGACCAGTTTAGCATCAGGTTTTTTATGGAAAACCGCAAACCGCAAAATAGCACGTGCCTACGGTACGGGGGGTGACAACTCTAACAAAGGCTGTTTCGGCAGAAAAACACATTTATTCCGGGAATCTGGAGATTTTGCCGGGAATCGGGAAACCTGGGAAATTTTTCGGGAAATATGAGATATTTTCGGGACATTGAGCAAAGATTTGATATTACATGTTATCAAACAATATATATATACAGTGATATGCACCCAGTGTATGCGCTGTATTCTGTGTATTTTGACACTTGAAAACGGCTGAACTTCCCATGATATGAAAGGACCAATCAGCAACGTTTCCAACTAAAATAGCATGAAGTTCGAGTGCAATTGACCTCGTGCAATCCTTAGCGGATTGACACAAGAACCGTACCAGTGCAAGGCACATACTATCAGCTCACACCAGATCCCATCATTCATTAGTTCAGGGGTATTTTTACGCTGCACGTTAACGAGTTTTAAGAGCACATTCCACTGATTGCATACTGGAAAACTTGAAGGAAGTACGTAAGAAGTATGTAAGAAAGAAACGAAACTCATTTAACCTTGTTAAACACAAATGAGGCCATAAAAAGTAGTATGTCTGTGAAGACTCTTTAATCATCCTGATCTCGTCGGGGTCCTTCTGATTTTACTCGAAAATCCTGAATCCCGATCAATATGCGTTCGGGATAGGAAAATTTCAGATTTCGACAGATTTTGAAATTTTCAAATGAATTCTTATGATTATACTACTACATGAGAAATTTCTGCAATTTGATTGGCTCAGAGCAGTGGTATTTCAGCTTAATTTGAAATACCTACATGTGAAAATTACAAAACCTTTGCGGGTAGTAGTATAAACAAATAATAGCATGATTTGTACGCAATATTTAGCATAGATACCACTCGTGATATTTCAAAATTGTCTCAAATTTCACTCGCCTAACTGCTCGTGAAATTACGTATAACAATTTTGAAATATCACTCGTGGTATTTATGCCAAATATCACTACAAATCATGCTATTAACTATACTAATCATACAATGACACCACACAGAGTATACTTAGTTGAAAGTGATATCCAGAGCAATTTCAAAACCGCACAACTTGTATAAAATGAAATTGACTACTTCTACGCGAAGTCACGCCAATAAAAATAAGCATAAAAAGGACAATTGATTTAGAGAACATTTTGGACAGAAGTTGTCCTCTCAGAACACTAGAAATGGCGTTTCAAAACACCAAGATTTCCAAATTTTCTAGGGGGAGCATGCCCCCAGACCCCCCTAGTGGTTGGCCCCTTCACTGCTCGCCTGATTCATCGGTTATTAAAAAACAAAAAAACACGATTTTATATACTTAAAAAGTTTTGACAGTCTTTCTGTGTTAACATGATACCCTCTAAACGAAAAAGTAACTAAGGTTAGATAATTAACAAGTTACATAATTAACAAGAAGCTGCAAAAACTCTCCAATCAAAATTTTAATTTTAATTGTGAAAACAATTTTGGGAAGTTAAGCATTTATGGGGAATGCCACCGAAAAATTCGGGAGGGTCGACGAAATTTCCGGGAGGACATAAAGTTATTCATAGGACTGCCCAAACAGCCTTTGTTAGAGTTCTCACCCCCCGTTACGGTCTTGTGGTCGCGTTTGCCGTCTGCAGTTCACGTTTGAACGGCAGGAAGGGCTTCCAGCGGTAAGTGATTTAGGGCAAGGTTTTTTGCCATTAAAAATTGCACAGCCTTGAGTTTAATGGCACGAACTAGCTTTTTATATCTGTTTGCGATATGTTTGTTGAATTTTTGAACTCGAATTAATGATTTATTCCTGTCTTTTGGGCTATAAAAGTGATGCACAGTTCACTTGGTAATAATCAACATGGCGGCAGTAAACAATGATTGCCTTGCTAAATCTCGGCAACGTGAAACTGCAAACGCGTAACTGCTAACTGCAGTTTGCGGTGTCCCATGAAAAACCTGATGCTAGAGGTTTCTAATATCGTGTTCGAATCCCATAGAGTCGCAAAGGGTCCAAGAACATATGCCGGTGTTTCTGATTGGCTAGCTTCTTACGCGGTTTGTGATAAGTCCAATTTGAAATAAGGTGTTGACAGACCAAACATGGCTCACAGCTCTTGACGAGAAACGTGAACTTAGAGTCATCTTGAACAACAGAGATCAGTTTCTTGCTTTAGATTATGCATTACATGGAGCAGGAGTATTCTAAACTTTGAGTGAGCAAATCAAATTTTTGCTGCTTTGAGTCCCACATTTAGTTTAGAGGTTATGAAGCTGGTTGCTTTCCTTGGTTCTCTCTGAAATTCCTGGACCTGAATAGCCACTTGTGTATACTGACTATACTGTGTATAGTTTTTCTGATAACGATCGATTTCGTGTTACTGTTTTATCGTTGATTTTAGTTTTTTTTGTTTGTGAATATCATGATTTCCTGTGCTAAAACGGTCGCTAGATTGCAGAATACGCGGCAGTGCATCTGCAGCGATAGTAAGACGCTGGAAAATCAGTCGGCAAAGAAGAATGCTTTCAAGTTCGAGATGTCACTGCGCCCAACCGTCACGCACACGTAAGAATTGGACCAATCGTGAGGCGCGTAAGAAACCGGCCTATCAGAAACGTTCACATATATCCTTGCCACCCTGCTGTATATCAGAACGAGCTTTTGTGCACTATTTTGCAGACGGTCTATACAAATGGTTTGGACGATATGTGGGCCCGCTGCAACGAAGGCTAAATAATGAGGGCATAAAACACAGGTTAATTTTAATTCTCAACCCTTATAAATGCCTCTCTATAAATATCGACTCGCTGATCAAATGCATTGAAGAATATTTCGAAGCAAAATGTTAACAAAGCATAATTTATCATAATCTACAGTAAGTCAGCTGATCCTGGAAGTTCGCTCTTCACCAGTCTGTCGTAAAGTTCCCCGACGATCAAATAGCGGTGATTTGCTATAAGATCAAGGACAAAGTCACAAGGATTGAAGGTTCGCTTGTCCAGCATGCGGATCTCGATATGAGACATACCAAAGGTCTCTGCAAGCTGTTTCCATTCATCGCCAGCTTGTAAACAAAAGCAAATTAAAAGTTTGAGATTCTGTTTTATCGGAAAGTAAAAAGCAGTTTGAAGTGAGCCCTCTTGGTGAGTTTTTTTATTTTACTTATTTTTCACTCTTAGGGCAAACTTCGTCAATACAATAAGTTACAATGAAAACAACAAAAGAAGAAACAGTTGCGCTTGTAATTTAAATTTTCCACGTTTTCAGTTTTGATAAACCATTGATGCTGAACCTTACAAAAAGGTTAAAACTACTGATATGATTTGCCATGTTTGAAGACACTGTATTAAAAAGATCTTACTTTTGCGCATCTACTGTTTACGACTTCATGTTCAAACATGAATTCACCCATCAATCAAACTAATCGTATTTTCTTTAAATAGTTTCCTTTCTCAGTTAATATTGTTTAATACACGGAGAAACATTTTGCAATACAGAATGGGGAGCTTAAGCAACCACGAAGACGATGGCAGTGTCGAAATGTCACCAAAAATGAGTTGTGTTCTTTCGACCTCCATTGCGCTTATTCAGCCTTCTTTTAATTTGTCTACTGTAAACAAAGTTTTCTGGACTTGAATTCATCAGGTTTCTATAACAGTTCAAAACGATCAAGGGAAGTCGGTTGTCGTTGTTTATTGTCTTCCTCCGAAAAATGTCGCATTAGAAGTTTCAATTGATAGTCGCATTTCATTCAGTAGCTTTAATAGATTGTTCATATATCTATTGTTGCTTTTGTGTTGGAATATTTGACATGTATATCAAGCACCAATATGTAACTATCACACATCGGCAAGTTTTTACTTTACACTTTTTCTCACATTTAGTAATTGTTCTTTCTAAAACAAATGATTGATTTCTCGCTCGCTGATTGGCGAGAGCTTTGGTCCCCATCGATAATTACAGACCATGGAATTGATTCTCTTTCTTACACAAGCGATTTTCCTATAAATTTTAACAAAATTTTGTAGTGTTCCACTATAGTTTGAAAACTCCGGAGTCATTTCTAAGAGTACGCTGGAGATCAAAGATAAATGTTGTCACGGATTTGTTAGATATCTTCTTTGTCTTGAAATTTACTTTGACAATTCCATGTATACAGATGAACATAACCAAATTAAGTTGGTTAATTTTGGCGACATACGTGAAATCTTTGCTGGAAACAACAAATAACACTTACCAGAAAGTTGAAATGTTAGGTCCTTTCTCACTTGAAAGGGAATAAAACGCACATCAAGGTTCTCTTTCAACAAGGGACCTGTTTACCAAACAACATAGTGTAAGTAAATATATCTTGTTGGACAGTTTAGTCTGTAATAGTATCGTGGGATATTTTTTCGAGTCACGCCCTATTTTGGCGAGCCCGTAGGGTGAGTCAAAATACAAAAGACGAGTAAAGATATCCCACGACCATACACACTAAACCGTCCAATAAGATATATTTATTATTCAACTTCACTCAGTAGAGTACAAATAACGCACAAAACGAGTACAAATATCTCACGGTATTAGAAAGTTAAGTCTGTTAAGTTCAACATGAACATATTTTGAAGATCTAAAATGGCAAATTGAAAATGAGGTGGTTAGTGTCAAAAACAGAAAAAAACGTACCGCGTCTTGCTTGAAAGATGACGCAAAAACCTTTCATCTACTACTTGCGGGAAGTGTCTCTCTAGACAGTGGTGGTAATAACACATTATACTAAATGTAAGAGACTACTTGTGTAGTAAAGATTGAGGAAGGTGAGTCGCAGAACTTTCGAGTAAGCTTTACTACTTACTAAAGATAGTACTATAGGTACAGGTAAATCATACAAAACATCTTCGAACATCTGTTTAAATTCATGTGGAATCTCAGTGAGCGGTACTGAATCCGGGCGAATAGTCACAAACACAATCATTGCCATAGTCATCAATGTAGGCACACAACACTTGAATGCCTTGAACAAGAGAGGAGGAAGCTTCTTTATCGTCTTCATCGTCCTTCAATTTTCAATGTGGGTTTTAAAATAAGACACAAGTTCTGACACAACAACTAATTAATCTTCGCCGTCCGTCTTCATAAGCTTGATCTACGCGACCAGTAGGTAGCAGGCCAAATCTTTCAAATAGAGCGAAACTTTCCTTTCTATTTAACATAGTGTGTTGTTGTTATGGACGTACCTGTAGTACCGGCAGGTGCTATCGTCCTTAGATACTCAATTACATCGATTCTGTTTTGAGATTTAGCTTCATTAGCAAGACACCGAATCCTTCTTTTCGTCTCAGGCACTGGATTTTCCAGATCTGCTGGATTTAACTGCAGACATTCTTGAAAGCGCGCTACAATTTCCTTGGGGTCGCTCTGCTGACACTGAATGCACTGAAGAACATCACGGGGAAGAGCAAGAGAATTCTCTAGAAATTAAAGAAACATGTTACATTGGAAACTCCAAGTGTCTGTTATTAAAAATTGATTTCAAAAATATAAAATATACAAGACAACGAACAGAACTGGAAATTTACAACTGACTCGTGTAAAATGATTAACCGTGTTCTCACCTTCTTGGTAAGTTTCAGAAATTCTTTCTCCCACATCACTGCATCCAGATGCACTTTTCTGATAAAAAATGATACGCAATAAAATAATTCTGAATAATTATTTTGAAAACCCTAACTTTTGCTGTTGCTGTTAATTCCTTTCTGCTTTGGTAAACTCAGGTCATGGAGACAAGATATATGCCTTCTACCCAGCCTGAAATACCTTATGCTTTCATTGCGTATATCCAAGATTTTAAAGAGATTGTTTCAGTGGTTGTAGTGGTATTCTAGGAGTATAAACTGTGCACAGATATACAAAGTGTTTGGGGAAAGACAGAAACTCACCTGATTAACTAGAGTCCTGCTCTCGTTAGGGTCTGAAAACGAAAACCAGGGTGCAAACATTTTGATGCGAATTCTGCAATCTCCACGAAGACCAGGTCGAGTGCAATACCGGCATTTTAGCAGCTCGGATTCTGACAACAAGTGAAGACACTCACAGCCGCGCACGTCATGAGAACGACATTTTACAGAACCTCTCTGTGAACACACTGGACAGCAGATGCACATTTCGTATCTCATGTACTTGAGCCAACTAAACTCTCTGCGCATGCGCTCGAGAATCAGTCTCAGTTGAAAATGCATTTTACGACTTGTGGTCAGACCGGGACTACAACCAGTTACATTTGCTTCCGAAATATCGCTTCCATCGTGAACAACGATTTCGATAGAGGAAGAATGGCACATGATAATGACAGACGTTCCTTCATCGGGAAGGATGTGGAACCGAGCAAAATTCCTGAACAGCTGGGGTTGTATCTGGCTCTTCCACTCTTCGTGACAACATTGGTAAAACTGTAGTACTAGACGCTTGAACAGGCCTGGAGGCACTCGACCTACTTCAAACCTCACAAAAAGTGAAGGCGTTCTCACAGAAGCAAGGAGCTCCAGGAGGTCATTTGTAGGAGGTGACATCAACATGGATGGCACAAGGTATTGTATGTTTTCTCCGTCAGATGGCCAGGGACAGAGCAAGCTGAATCTCTCCATTATCGCGATAAGGCTCTTAACGGTTTCTTTACTGTAGTTATCAATCAACTGTTTCCACTCGTGATCAAGGAGTCTTTCATCCAAGATTCCAGTCTCCTGCAGCTTGCGCCAAAACCCTTCAACGTTGTCTTCTGTATGCTTGTAACGCCTAATAGTGATTACCTTCTTGAAGATATCAATGAGCCACTGGGGGTCCAAAATTACCAAGTTGTTTAGTTCTTTTGTTTCCGTAAAATGAATTATAACCTTCTGATCATGCAAAAAGTCAAGCATAGTCCTGAATTGTTGATCTTCGTCAATCCCGCATTTATCAGTGGCAATCTGCCTTGCTTCACTAATGGCCATCAATTTGTCGTGATCGTCACGTAAAAGCCGGAGAATATGTTCAAACCTTAACCACTTTAATGGAACGGCCTCCTTCATCTGAGGAAGACTTTGGGCAACAGAAAGTAATTCTTCTCTAAGGCGCACTACCTCTTGGCACTCGTTTATGCTCCCTGACTTCGTGTTGTCGACAACAAAGACGTCCTTGAACAAATGGTGTTCATAAGGCTTGGTTCGGAGAAATCCATAGATATCGAGCGCCAAATCTCTAGGATCGGTGGTTTTACTGTAAGGTTCATCTGCATGAGTACACACCAAAAAAACTGGAGGCAATCTTGCAGATGAGGTGTGGGACTCAGAGGAGTCCTGACCAAGAGCTTCTGGACTGACCAAAGAATAAACTGATGACAGCCAAAAGTCAAGATAGTCTATGTTTGTGTTGTTGCAGCAAGTGTCTTCTTTGTTCCTATAGAGTCCTTTTCTGACTAGAGTGTCTGCTTTGTCGTAGGGATTACGACTTAGGTCGCAAGCTAAAATATAGATGGCTTTCTCTGTTAGAAAGATTGGATGGGTGGCATAGTAAACGGACTGTCCACCAAAATCCCATAGAATGGAAAATATTTCTTCCTCTTCTTCAACATTTTCATTATTTTGTAGAAGTCTTTCCACCCTTGTTGCTATACTTTCTGGTATTTCCTCTTTAACGTGTCTCTGGCTCGACTTTGAGTCCGTAATTGATGTCTCAGAGCCATCATTGCTTGGTTCCTTTAAGGGAGGACTCTGAGCCATTTTGACATTTTTTAGTGCACCAAATATCGACTGTGCGATATTGTGCTCGAAAAAATCCTCTGACCCAGGATCAGTTTTGTTGTTGTTATTCTCGCCTGCTCTCCAAATTTCCGTCGAAACTTTGAAGTATGAAGGATCAGTCTCTATTCCTTCTGTGCTTTGTTCCTTTGGATCGAACTTTTCTCCCTTTAGAGATTTCTTTAGACTAGTTTTCCCGGTTCGAGCCTGCCCGATTATCATGATTGGTACTCTTTTAATATATGCTTTCCCGTCCATAAGAGCATTGTTGTAGGCTTCAGTTGCCTCAGCACCTCGCGCCTGAATATCCGAGGGAACTATAAACACAAAATAAAATATCAGTTTCTTTAATAATTATAAATGTTAATGATAATAATAATAGCAACAACAATGTGAATGCATTTTTTACATATTAGACAAAGTGTCTTTGTGACCTTTTTATCCAATAGTGAAAAGAATTTAGTCCAGAGTGTTAGTATAGGGCGTAGTCCGAATTAACCATTTTTGAGGGGCAATCCCATTAATTTCTGGTGGAGGACATTAGCGTCGAAGACGTCATAACCCTTTGTCTTTATCTTATTAATGAATGCAGAGGAATATTATTACTTGCTGAGGAATACACCAAGGCCAATGAAGTCGTAGGGTTTTGTCTTCATCTTTTGAATAAAGTTCTGTGGAATCTCAATTAGGCTAGATACGATGATGTGCTATTTTTAGTTGGTTTTAACTCGTTGGACAAGCTTTTTTAGTTGTTTCTAGGTCAAGAAGTGTCTTGCTTTTTAATTGGTTGACTAAAAAATAAAAAAAATATTCATTGGTTGATTCATTTTGTCAAAGAAATAAGCGCTAACTCGCCTGTGACTTAAAATCACGTAGTCAAAACGCAATTATAAAAGTTTTATTTCCTGGAGCTGTGCATATCAATGAGGGCAAAGGTAGACAAGCTCTTTCTAAGACAAAAGTCAAATATCTGCTTACCCCACTACCGACTCCTGCTCACTCACAATTAAGTTATTTCCCTCCAAAAAATTTTTCATTCTCCATCCACCACGAAATTTTAATCGTTTACCCTCTTCCTCCTACACATTATCGACCTCACATCGACCCTGCTTCTGTAGGACGTTGAAGTCCAGGGCTGAGACCAAAGAGCATGGTGGGTTATGGAAAATCCCGGTATTGTGTAGAGAAGTAAATAGTTACAGTACGGATTCTATTTGATCGGCAAATAAGGTTAAAGAAAAGTAAAGACAGCGTAACACATCGACCTTCTATCGACCCCACATCTACCCTACACCGATCCCTTCCATTTATTAAAAGACAAAAAGAAAGGTATGACGTCATTGGCGTTAATGTATTCCTCCGTAGGTTAATGAGTTCCTCTATGTTTTATACATGAGACAAAAAAAAAGGCTATAACTTTATCGGCGTTCATTTATTCCCCTGAATTAATAAATTAAAAAAGTTAATTCGCTAAGCCCTATACTACTAGTTTCGCCGGTGAAAGGCGAAGTCCTTTTAAGGATAAACTATCTAGTGCTCGTGAAGAAGACGTTAAAAATGAATAGTTTGTACTTTATATTTTTTTGGAACAATAAAGACAATAGAATACCACTCTTTTGTTTTTGGAAACATTCCTTTGATAACGGACAGTTTTTTGGTTTAGAATCTTCTTGATTAATAATAAATAGAGGAATTGGTAGGAACTTTCTTGACAAATTGATTTGCTATCTATCTTTCCAAAAAGAGAGTGTATCTTTTAAACATTATAAGGCACCATGGACCTTATATAAAAATATTTATAAACTTACTACCCTTTGAGAGACAAGCTATAAATAATGCCCCATAGAGTTTTAGTAACAAATAAAAAACTTAAGACTCTAAGAAATTACAACATTTATGTTACAAATAACAAAGCCCCGACTAGCTGGAGCATTAATCCTCTTTCAAGTTACACGACTGCTATCTGTCGGTGCAATATGATTGTGGTGGTAAGAGGGATAATCAGGTTGATCCAGGGAGGGTGGATTGGGTGGCCAGCCATTTAGAAGTATTTGAACTTACTTGGGAGGAAAAAGGGCTAAGTGGCAAAACAATGAAATACCTGCATCAGGAGCTTGAGGATGATATAGACTTTCAGGGTCAAATCTTGTGCTGTCTAGGAAGAAAAGAGTATCTATCACAATCCCAGTAAAGAACTAGATAAATTTTGACCGCTTTCAGACTGTAAAAAAGAAAATACTGCTCTTATAACACATCAACACCAATTATCAGACAAGGAAATAATGAGCTTACGATACTTTGGACAAATTAAATTAAGAAAGGACAAGCTAACACACGATTAATTACCTATATAAGTCGACATGGGGCGAAACTGACGTTTAGGGGGAGCTCTTCTTTTACCTGCAAGGTGACAAATATTACAATCTCTCTCAAAACAAATCATTTTATGCGTAATGTTTCCCTCAAACGAATTAGGGTGTCCGCTAGAGACAGCTGCTTGAAATAATGTCTGCAGCAGATTCGGAGGAAGAATGAAAGAAATAAACATTTTATTTGTTGGCTGATTGTTAACAAACCCCGCCCAACCTCCATTTAGGGGACACTTGCCTTGGTCCAGAGGGTGTCCCCTGAATAGAGGTTCCACTATATTATAGAAACTACAATACATTGGTATACCAAAATTTATCCCATGCCATAATTATATAAACAACGCAGCTAATCAGAAAGCAAGTAACCATTGCATATATAGAGAATACTTAATGGTAAGTGCTGGCGTACGGTATTTACGCACGAGTTGTTGACGTATCAGAAATCGAACGAGTGAGCGCAGCGAACGAGTAAGATTTCTGATACAAAAACGAGTGCGTAAATACCTTACAAAGCACTTTCCATTAGGTATTGTGTTTATTATATACATGCTGAGACATTCATCATTTTGGGGGGCTTTTTATTTTAAATCTTCAAAAATGCTAAAATTTGCCTCTACACACTTACAAAATGACAACGAAAACGAAGTATCAGCTTTTTAGTAAAAACGTTTGTTAAAAACATAAATGACGGTAAGGATATGATGTAATCCAAGAACAATAAGTAATCTTGACTGTTTGTTCTCAATGCACAATTGAAAATGAGTGAATTTAAGTAAAATGGCCGGTTTCAATAAAAGCTTAAGCTTAAATGAAAAGCAAAGTAGCTCCGACAAAAAACACAACAAAAGCTTACGTCTCGTTCTGTTTTTCCCTTTCTGCTGTTGTTTCGCCGGCTCTCTACCGTTTTCTTTATCGACAGTGAAACAAACGAAACTATTCCACTCCATTTCCGAAAGGTTTTTCACTTTTCTAGCGAGAAAACTCTTTCAGTAAAACTTTTATCGTTGAATGTGTGCGAAGCGGCGCTGCAAGCTGCAAATTGAAAAGGCGGGAATTTTGGCGCGAAATTCACACACCTCTGTGGCTTCTGATTGGACGTATCATTTTTCTCACACGTGAAAAAACATCGTTCGCCATTCTTATTGGACGTATCATTTTTTTTTTTTGGCCGTGTGAAAACCGTCGTTCGCTCCTCTGATTGGCTAGAACTAATTTTTGTACGGAAATTTACGACATAGCTTTTTGGTGAGTATTTCTCAGTATTTATATAATATATTCGTTGGTATGCAACGGGTAGTATCACACTCGGCAAATGTAGGGCTTGGTTACCTTCACAACATCTTGAAAGCAATGGGGATTTTTCCATACTTGTTTACGAGGCTGTATTAATGTCGGCAAAAAGTAATTTAACTTAATGTCAAAATGTTCAATATTTTGAATTTAAACTACTCGCCAGTGGCTCATGGTCTCACTTGAGTTTTGAACATATTAACATTGTTTTTTAAGGTCTGTATACTTGTTGTTCAGCTTCCGATTGCTTCACAGTGAAATATTCCACGAGTGACTTAAATTGATTTGTCTTAATATGTTAACCTTAAGGTGTGACTAACCATACATATAAAGAAAAATCAAGTCAATTGTGGAATATTCAGGGAGAAGGCAATGCCTAACTGATTCATGCCAATTATCTTGACTTCGCAAAATTTATAAATCTTGATATCGCAGGTAAAACTCGAAAAAAAACCACTTTTCATCCTTAATGCAAGCTTAGTCCGTAAACACCAATGTCCAAATAATCGAAGGCCAATTCACCTGCATGCTGAAGAAAATGGCAAGGTAAATGCGAATGCATGCGTTTGGGGGGAATTCAGTTAGATAGGCTTGTTGCCTCCATGATTGGTCTTCGAAACACCGGTTAAGTGAATTTGGTTTTGTTTTCTTGCTCTCTGCTGATAAAATCCTAACAGATTTTATAAGCCGACGACTTACCTCTCAGAGGGTCACTGCTCCATCTTCTGTCGGACTTACCAACTGCTATCATTGACAAAGAGAAAGGAGGGAGAAAGTGGAAGAGGAAATTTTAAATTTTGAACTCAGAGCAACTAAAAGTGGAAGCTATTCCAGCTTTAAAGAAGATATGGTCGTAGCAGTTGTAATGATATTTTTAGCAACTGCATATTAACCCGAAAAAAAAAAGCAGGGCTTTATTGGGATTCGAACCCATAGTCTTCGTTAGCGCTGCAATGCTTTAACAACTGAGTTATAAAAATGTATGCATCTTTTCCCCCATCCCCATAAAAATGCTTGGGATACCACTATCCCTACCCACTAGTTTATTACGTGTTCGAAGAAACGTACACTGATCTCGCGACAAAAATTTGTCCTATCGGTAGTTTGCGATAAGGTAAGCCTAAAGGCGGAGCACTGGTTAAAACTACATCGCTTATTTGAAACAAAAAGTAATGCTTTAACCAAAGAAAACTTTTTCAAGAATCCGCCCAGCCTTAAATTTATGATACGTCCATCACATTAATTCAGTAAGATGCTTGTTTTTCGAATCAAAAATCAGTTTATCCATTGGAATTTAACATAAAGGAAAATTGACTAATTAGTACTGTGCAAATAACGTAACGTAACGGTCGGAACACCTGAGTGTGAATTAAATTCACAAAATTCGAATTAGACACCATATTGGCAAGATAAGTAATTGGAATAAGCGACATTGTTATTCGGGTCTGATCAGCTAAAAAAAATGTTTTGCTTCTAAAATTGCTGTAGTAAGCATGGAAATAAAATTTCTCTGCCACATTAAACTTTATAAGAAAGGGAAAAAAAAACAAGAAAACATCTGGGCAAAATTGTTGAAAGTCTTGTTTTCCACTAACCTGA